AATTGTTTTTAAGTGTCTGGTTTTAATTATAAGGGGTGTTGGTTGGGGAATTGCGAAAGCTCAGTGCAAGGCCTGTTGGGTTGCAGTTAAGTTGAGCAACATGAGCAATTAGGAAATTCCTGTGTCCTATTCAGCTGGTCTTCTGACTGTGGCCATTTCGTTTGGTGGAGGAAAATAGTTGAACTCTTCTAAAAAAACTAAGGAACTGAACTTTTTTTGACCTAATGAACCCCTTGTGTTTTTCTTCATGCATCCTAAATGACGACTGAGCGCTATAAAACTGAATGATTGGAAACAATTAACGTGCCCTGCAAACTCTGGGGTTCAGAGGGATTTTATGGCATTGGGAAATGTTTGCAGATGGGATATGAATATTTCAGAGATAATGTGAAACAACTGACTTTGTAAATTCCCTTTGAGACCTTCTTGGACTTACTTCTAGGTAAACGATTTTGTGGCACTGATCAGGACAACAGTTTTATGGTTGCTGTTGTGTTGTGGTTTTCCCACTGCGCCCGGAAACTACACACAGAAATGATGCTGGCTTTGAGGGTTTAGTTATATTTGTTTGACAGGAGCTGCTGCTGTTTATGTTACAGGCTGTGGCACTGGCATAACTGTGATTCCTTTTGAGTGAAGCTTTCACCCTACATAAACTTAAAGCATAGTACTTGTACTCAGTCAACTCAATTTGCACGATCTGTGTACTTTGCATGATCAAAAGTCTGGACAAACTTGTGACAGTCAATCCAGCCTCACCCAGCAGTGAAGTACATTGAAAGTAAAATGGACCATACTGAACTGTTTTCGGATGTGACTTGGAAAGGGTGGACAGATAGACAAGGATAGCAGACATGCATAGTTACAGGACAGTCATGTCAGCATACAAGGGTTAGATAGGTGTTGATTTTTCCTCAGAAAAAAAATAACTTGGTAAAATACAACTGTAAACACTAAAGTTTGCAAAACTCAAAAAAAAAATGGCGTAAACATTTTGCTCTTTGAAATATTTGTGTAAGCTAGCTAACTCGTGCATTTAACTTAATATTATCTTGTTCTCAACTTAAATGTTTTTAGTAGAGGAAATCTAACTAGTTAATTCAGTTAATGCTGACTTGCTAATTGGCAACACAGTGCTTTGACTAGCATTAGCATATCATTGCAATTTCTGAATGTGTAAAGCAATATATAAAACATTTAACATGCCTGTTCTCAAACCAAACTCATGCTCCATTCGTCACCATGATGGTAAAACCCCTACACAAAACCCGACATTACAGAAACTCTTCTAAATTAGCATACTAAAACATTAAATACTTCTAAATATCCCACTTAACATTAATATTGCGCACAAAAAAAAAAAAAAAAAAAAAAACGTATGACCCTTTATTTGATATAAAGTTTCTTACTTTGGCAAAAAATGCTGGGAACTAGAAATGCCTGCCCAGATATTTTAGACTTTTTGTACTTTTTGAAAGAGTTCAGGCAAGTCTGTTTTCTGTTTTGATGTCAGTGCACACATTTACAAAACATAGCCAATGCAGTTGGTTTGTTGAGGTGGGAATTGAATAACTTGATTTACCTGCTCAGAGAATTGAACTGAACATGTTAGGGATAAAGCTGAATGCCAGCATGACTGCCCTTAACAATGCCTGACATTAATGTTATTGAGCTGATTGAAGCCAAATCCCATTCCAACATCTAGAGCAAAATTGCCATAAATTAAATCACAGTGCATTTTTTTGCATGCCTATTTTATTTTTATTATGCATATTTTGAGAATATACTTAAAAATACATTTTATGCATGTCTTATGATGGTTACTTTTTTATTTTGTTACATTTCCATTTTTTTTTAATTATTTTTACCCTGCATGTGATTGGTCAGTATGTTTTGCCACATTATATGCAAATATGTTATGGATATTTAATAGTCTACTAAGCATCTGTTTGCGGACTTGATATTATTCTTTTTCTACTTGATCAATAATAAATGTGCCTGGAATTTCTTGTATGAAATTAAGAAGTAATGTCTATTAATGTCTTTGAGACATTGAATTGCCTGATGTATTTTATTAATATTCTACAAACCTACTCTCCAGTTACAGTTATTAGTATTCAGCTTATTTTTGGAAATAAATATGAATCGTTCTAAAAACAATCAAATCAGACTCAATCATGACTTGGTTTCACATTTCCATAACTTTAATATCAATGCTTATTATTTTATATAAGATGTTTGAACAAGTATCTTCATACTTTTGAAAATCCTCAAAGGAGTGTTGGCGTAGACCCTAAAGTTTCTTTATTCAAACCACACAAGGAGTGAACCGTAAACTGGACAGTTGCTGAGTTACCCAGTAACCATTGCACTCTCGATGAGAGTATGACCCTGTAGTAAAAATGTACCGCTCTTTGCTTTGGATTAGAAGCGTCTCCTAAATGACTCCTCTCACATTCTTTGGATTATAGGACTTGGCTCTAATGGGTTAAAAAGAAAAACATGATCAATGCCATAGTCCAGATCTTCTGTTTGAATAAATAAACCCTTGCTGTGTGTTTGAAGAAAAGGCTTAAGAGCACCCCTGGCCTGGCCAATAGACCCAGAATCACAACTTAGCCCAGTAGTGTGCAATCCTGTATTTAGAAAAACTTTTTGGAATAACCTTTTTCTTTCTTTCATTTCAAAGCAATGTAAATAGGTTATAGTGTTTGTCTTGCATACTGCACTATATCCTTCCACATCTCCCAAGTATGGATCTCTACTATCTCCTTGCCTCCATTTGCACCCCATCCAGAGGTCTAATCTGTCCTGTGGTTAATGTTTAGATGCAGACCAAAGGGTTCACATCTGCTGTTAGCGATGCGCAATACAATGGCCCAACGGTTCATCAGCAGAGCAAGACTGCTTCCCTCCTAGGTTAATCGCATGCTAACCTCTTCTACAAAAGGCTCATGTTGCCGTTGATGCCTTGTTGTTCCTCCTCCTCTTGTCATGCTAATGCACTATTTACACATGCAAAAAATGGACCCATTGTGCCAAGGTGTCTGCGGCACAGGAGGAAGTCCTGTGTGTACGTGTATCTGTGAAAGTGTGTCCGAGTCCATCTCTGGTTTGAGTAATAAGTGTGAAGTGCCCCTCCCACGCTGGATTGAGGAAAGGTATGTGGGAACGGAGAGCGGTTGAATTGAATTGGGGGAAGGGCTCATTAATTTCCACTGCCATCCGTTTATACATCATGGTTGAATGGTTTGGCATTTGGATTTAATTCGTTGATTTAAAGGGATAGTATGTTCACCCAAAAATGAAAATTGTCATCATTTGCTCTCCCTCATGCAAACCAATCTTTGAAACACAAAATGAAATATTTTTAAAATTTTAACCTCCATTGATAGTCCAGGTAACCAAAATTTAAGAGATTTTTAAAGAGTAACTAAACCCCTGGTCAGAGTCTGACTCCACCCACTGGCAATATTTGAAGAATGCTGAAAAAGTGGGCAGACCTCAGCGGAGATAGAGGGGACGAAATAGATGCTAAAACACTCTATCCTGATCGTTTTCAATACTCGCAATTCCAACTCCTGACTGTTTTTGATGAAACAAGCTGGTTTTTATACTGCCAAGGCCGCAGCTCGTTCCAAGAGCGTGGTGAGCTGAAACGTGCGTATGTCACGAAGAACCGCTAACATCCAATAGGAAAATTCAACTGCAGTAGCCACCGTTCAACCTGAAGAGGGCAGCACTAAGACGTTTTTACACCATATTTTGTAGAAATAAAGCACTTTATACACGTCAAAAAAGTTACTCGAATCAATAACTGGTATTAAAGGGATACTCCACTTTTTTGGGAAATAGGCTCATTTTACCACTCTCTCAGAGTTAAACAGTTGGGTTTGACCATTTTCGAATGTATTCAGCCGATATTTTTTTTTTTTGATGTTTAGAAGAATATCAGTAACCAGACAGTTTCTGTTCTCATTGACTTCCATAGTACATTTTTTTCCTACTATGGAAGTCAATGAGACCAAAAACTGTCTGGTTACTGATATTCATCTAAATATCAGAAAATCGGCTGAATGGATTCGAAAATGGTAAACTCTTGGGGAGTTGTAAAATGAGCCTATTTCCAAAAAAAGTGGAGTATCCCTTTAATAAAGATCCATTCTTACAGATCAGGTTTAGGGTTTAGTTACTCTTTAATAAAAAGTGTTGTGAAGAGAAAATTATTTGCTTTATATGATATACAGATTTAATTTATGCTTTTGTTTACTGTTTTGAAAATATCTGTTTTGAATATTAACCTCATGAGGATGACTAAATGGTGATAGTTTTAATTTTTGGGTGAACTATCCTTTTAAATTCAAGCAATACCCCTACTAGGGGGAAACTTTAACAATTCCTGTGGAATTTTAGTGACCTGTCCAGTCATTATGGACTTGAACAGCATTTATAAACATTTCTGCAGATCTCAGCGGGGAAACCGCATGTCCCGTCGCTGTTGTTTTTATCTATTTGACTTTAAAAGATCCAGGAAGCCAGCAGACCGAATACCATACGCATTTCTGCGTCGTCTCCCACTCCAATGTCAAAGCTGGCAAAAAGAAAACACACTTTTTAGACATTTCCCCCTTTTGAAGCTGCACATCTGGTGGCTATTAATGACGGTCAACATAACATTTAGGATGAGTAATAATTATTCATAACATTTGTTTACAAGCAAAAGCATTCATGTTTGTGTGTTTTTTTTTTTTCTGCATCTCTGTAAACATTCTTCTTTTGAAGGGAATTAAAAGGCTGTCCGGCAGTCTGAACAGGTTTGTGACTGTGGTTCCTGAATTTCAAAAGAAAACCGCAGAGCTTCACAGACTAATCATTCCACTTTTACCAAGACTATTCTCCTGAGTGGAATGTCATCATATCAAATGACAGCTCTTGGTTTTTTTATGGCCTCATTTTATGCTGTCACTTCATAAGCAAATGTTTGATCTTCTCTTTTGCAGGTGATGCCTTCCCAGGTGCCTCGAGCCCATTCCTTAGCGGATACGTCAGCGCCTCAAGCGCTCACGGGTCGTCAGATCCGGCCTTCCGAGCTCCCAACCAAGCCAGCCTGCAAATGGCCCAACTCTGGGCCTCTCACCCTCATGAAGGTAAGAATCACTGCATGGTTTTGTGCCGCAAAAGGAAGGCAGAAACGTCAAAGCATGTCACTGCTTAAAGCGAAGCGGGACCTGCATTTGCGCACGGCGCAGCTTGAGCATATTGGGTTTAACGATTAGGTTTGTTGGCAGATCAGTGAACTCGGACAAAGGCTGTAGTCAGAGGTCTGGGTGACAGGCAGAGGCAGGGCCGGGTGGATGGGCTAATGGAAAAAACACACCCTCTGTGATACAACCCACAGGGACTAGCCGGCTTTATATTTTAAGTTAATGGAAATTGTCTTGGTATTGGGAGTACGGGAATGTGGTGTGGACTGTGCTTAAGTAGATAAAGGTGCTGTATTTTTTTTTTTTTTTTGGATAAGTGAGTGTTTGGCTGATTAAGGGTGTCGGCTGGTGATGTGTAATATGCAGTCATGTCTGATGTCTGAAATGGATCTCTCTCTCTCTTTCTCTCTCTCTCTCTCTCTGTCAATAAACTAGATTTGTGTGAATTGTGTGCAACGACTGAAGAAAAGACAATAAAAAATCAATTTCATCCCTGCAGTCCTAATCTAGAATAGTCCACATCTGACAGCCACTCTGCTGCAATGTAATTGTAACCAGTTCCTTTCCTGAAATAGCTGGTGGCAGTCAATAGTCAATATCTAAGAGCTTTGACAAAGCTTAAGACCGATATTAGTGCTGCTGTCCTTTGTATAGACCATTTCACAAAATGTAAACAACACTGGTCCAGAAACACTTCCTGTTTCAGTTTGTAACTGTTTTCTTTATTTCACATGTAAAGAAAACATCTTAAAGATGTTTGTTTAACTTTTTGATTCAGTTTTAAATGTTCTGTTGGTTATATTTTATCCCAGCTTTTATGTAGTGTTAAACTGAAACAGGAAGTGCTTCTGGACCAGTGTTGTTTACATCTTGTGAAATGGTCTATACTATGTATATGATAGCATTATGTAACTAAGTTTTCTAGCAGCTTATAAGGTCTCAAAAATAAGATTTAAAACTGTATTTATTTTCCTGTGATGCTGAATTACTCCAGTCTTCAGTCGCATGATCCATCAGAAATCATTCTAATATGCTTTTGCTACTCGAGAAACTATTATTATTATTATTATTCTCAATGATGAAACAGTTGTGCTGCTTAATATATTTGTTGAAACTGATGAATTGTTCTTTTCAGGATACTTTAATGAATAGAAAGTTCAAAAGAACAACATTATTTTGGAAATTGAAATACTTTATTATCCACTGAAGCTGGAATGGTGTTAAAGGAAAGTAAAAAAAAAACCCATTATAACAGTTTTTGTAACATTATAAATGTCTTTACTATCACTTTTGATCGATTGAATGCATCCTTACCGAATAAAAGTATTAATTTCTTTTTTTTAAAAAGTGGTGGTGTACATTTAAAAAGAAACTAAATGCCAGTTAAATCTGGAACTATACAAATATAATGCAACTCTATGCCTAAACACTAAAACAATATATTATTTTAAACAATATCTTTAAAAAACTAAAAATAAAGCAGCATGGTAGTTTGTGCATGCCTGACTGAATGAATAAATCAACTTTTTATTCATTCATCCACCACAAGCAAAGTTTTATGCACATTTTTGAATTTATTCATAGCTCGCTTTTACCCAGCATTTCCTGAAATTCACACAAAAACATCTGGATGAAAACCTGTCTTATATTATGAAATATTACTTAATTTTGCACAAGACCTGAATGTGATCAACCACTGTAAGCTTTAGTGTTAATGGAGTAATAGTTCAAACAGGGCCAATGACTGTTACGTCAGCTGGCTCAAAAGTCAGCCATGCTTGTTGAGCCTTGAAGACTTTTGAGATTCTGTTATTTTTGCCCTGCAGTTACATTACACATTTCCGTCATATTCTCTCCTCCTCATCTTGGTGTATAGTCAAGACCTTATCTGTGCTGTATCTTCAAACTTGCATGTTCAAACAAGATGATTCATTCGGCTCTGAAGCCGTTCCAGCCCCTGCCATTTTGAAAAGATGGAGATTTCAGCTTTCAAAATGGTTCACATGTATGCCAAACAATCGAAAGAAAAGCAACGCTGGTTCTGTAAAAGGGCGTGGGCGGATTATTAACAAGGTTTGTTGAAGGGCCTTGTACCCATAGGCCTTTGTTTCAAGTCCCCGCAGAGAAAAGTACAGATGAATTGTCTAAAACCTTGGCACAGATCATAGAAAGCCTGCCTCGCTCTGCCTGTGTAGAAATGCGATGAATAGCTGACATTGAAGTGTACTCTGTCTCTGCAGCCTGTGAAAATATTTGAACATGCCTGTTTATTCTGAAGGGTGCACCTGGCTCTTATTAACTGAAGGAAGTCGAAGTAGCAGCTGTGGAATTTGGCTATTTTTGCTTGAAATGTGTGAAACAATCAAGCACGCCGCACTCGCCCCACTGTGGATTGCAAATACTCCATAATCCGAGGGGAAAACCACTGCCTTGCTGTCAGTTTATCTTTGAAGTTCAATTAATAAACATGAATTGCAGCGAACTGTGAAATGTTACAGTTTGTATATGCGCTGGGTCTTTGCGCGATAACCCCTTGAGCGGTGGTTAACTTTAAAATGCACAATCTCTCTATACGCCGAGATTTGAGGATGAGGCGTTCCGCAACAAGGGGTGCCTTGTGTGGATCAGGCGAGCGCAGATGACGGTTTGAACCAGTTTACATTAGGCAAGAATCAGTATCCCTGGAATGTGTCCTCCCTGGTCTTAGTTCACGTGCCGCTGTGGCTTCGCAGCTGAACTTTTTTCTTTTCTTTTTTTTTTGTGCAAGGCAAGCATGCGTCTGTGGCTGTTATCTGCAGCGGTTTGTAATCGGATGCGTGACCCTTGAGGTCTGCTCACCTTTGGACTGTGCAGGAGATGATGGTGGCTGCAGGGCGGCGCTCTGTGATTGATTGAGCGTCCATGCCTGCTGCGTCTGTCACACGTTGGGCTCGGCTCAGAAAGGAATGCCCCTCTTTGACTATATGATGATGGATTTGCGGGCGCAGGTAGCGCTTTGATGTTCTGCTGTGCTTTCTGTGGCGTCCCTGGGGTCCAGATGACGGTTTTGAATGCTGATGTGCTTGTGAAATTGGAGATGTATAATAATAAATATAATAAAAAGAGAGAGAGTGGAGGCAGATGTATGTTGACTGAAATTCTGGTAGGTGCCTCTTTCTGGTGCACATAAATGGAGTTGTTGAAGCTTCTTCTGACCTTTTGCAGCCCCTCTGTGTCTAAATACTGGACCACATCTCTCCTTCAAAGCCTTTTCTATGACTTTTATATAGTCTGAACCTCAGGGAACAGTTTTTCTTTTTTGTGTCTGCAAGGGTATGTCGTGGCATCTTTGCTTTTGAATGTTAATGACCTGCTTTTTTGACTGTTCCTTTCTGAGCTAAATTCCCCTTTCCACAAGTAGCCCATTTACACGTTAACCTTCCACTGTCCTTCGTCATAGATCCCTAAAGAATGAGCTAGGTTAAATGGTTCCTGTGCTCTAGATACACAAGCACACACACACCTACCTTTCCCCTTTGCTGTCACACTAAACCAAATGTAATGGGAAAATGGCATTTTCTCTTTCTGGTTTTTATTTTGTTTGATTTATTTATTTGAAGTATTTTTTTGGATGTTCTCTTATCTACATCAAATAACTGGAAAATCTGGAAAATCTAACTTTTAAAAATGTACTGGAAACGACGTCATGGAAATTAATAATCTTAAATTCAATATTCATGCATGGAAAAACAAACTATTATTATTAATAATATTTTGCACTACTGGCGTTTAAATTGGCTTGATATTGCTGTTTTGAACTGCTTGGGTAGATTGCTGTAAACCAGGGGTCGGCAAGTAAGGTTTGCATTGGTCTCGTACTAGGTGGCGGGCCAGAACATAGTCATTGGATAATTTAAGAAATTAATTGATGAAAAATGCAACTAGAATTGCCTGTGACAGATGGTTACGGTGTCTTTTGTAAATGGTACTGGTTGTAACTGTTTTAAAACCTGTAGTGGGACAGTCATTAGCAAAAAGCCACATTTGCGGGTTTTACACTGGATACATTAATAAAGCAGTAGGGATGAGTCACGATTTTCAAATATTCGATTTGTTGATTTAATTATAGAATATCGAATAGGTTGTGCGATTATTGTCAAAAAAATCCCGATGTTTTCGGTGGTGATGCTGTGTTCATGTAACCAGAGGGTGACGCTGCCAATAACGCAAAAAGTGGTCACAAGGAACCGGCAAGAGTAATGCTTATGAATGTTTCAAATATAGCAAGGGGACATTTTAATTGTTTAATAGTGTCTGTCGGCTGCAATAGTGACCTCAGTAGTTAATGCACCTATAGAGAGAAATGCACTTTTCATATGGATTACATAAGCAGAGAGTAGTCGGTTTCTTTTCGTTTTGAATTGTTTCGTTTTAGATTAGACCTTAAGCTTTCTATATATTTCTCGTGTCTGTGAGGCAGATTAAATGCTGAGTTTCGTTCCTTTATGAGAAGAGCTCCAGTTCACAAGCAATGCAACCAGCACCTCCATGTCCTGATTATATTGTCTGCTAGCCTATATTTGCTTCTTTTTTATTAAATCCAGGCAAATGGTTGATCAAACATTCATTAAAAAGAAGAAAAAAATGATACAAAACAAAATTACATTTTTAGAAAGGCAAAACAAAACTTAATGAAGTGGTCAAAATCATATCTGACCCATAAAAATCATATGTGATCTCTTGCGGCATCTTGGAAACATCCCGCATTGCCAAAACGCACATGTGGGAGATGCGGAATGGAAACAGAACTCCAAAATAGAGACCTGAATAAGCCCATTAATGGCATTTTTGCTCTTAACGAACTGTTTTATTTCCTCTTTCCATATTGTGAATAATAAATGTGTATTATTTTAATTTGCTTGTTACACAGTGAGGTCTAACTTATTGTAATAATTACTTGACGTAGACTACTTTTAAACTTAGAATTATTCCTTGGCATCCTCGCATACTAAACTGCATTTTTTTTTTTATCGTTTGTGTGCTGGAGGTACGCTATTATGTCATGTGTACAGTGATGTTAACATTTACACTAGCCGGTGAGAGAAAATGGCACGATCAAAGAGTCTAAAGAGGAAAGTTTACTGTGAATATAGCCATACAAAGAATACTGTAAAGACAACTATGTGTTCATACTTCCTAGTTTTGTAAATGCAAAGCCGGGTGTGTCTTATCTGCAATGACAACCCGATCCCACTAAATGCGTCTCTATAGCACGCATTGTGTTTATCATGCAATTTATACACGAAAATTTGTTTTTACATGCATGGGTAGGTTTAGTAGTGGTGTCGGATGCGTGTACGTTGGGTAGGATTAGTGGTGTGGGGTGCATTACACACAATAAAGTGCGTGTCAAATGCACCTGAAAAACTGTGCTATAGAGACACATTTAATATAATATTAGACCTTTCATGACGGTTATTTTAGAGGTGTGTCTAGCGATCCACAGACTCTTTTGAATATCTTTCTGAACTGTTCAGGCTGCGGCCGACCCCTGTTGCCGACCCCTGCTGTAAACGTTGTCTTTGTCCAATTTTTTATCAGAAAGAAAAAAACTGACAATTAAAATAGATATATTCCATTTATTAAAAGAAACTGTAGCCAGCAGACCTTGCATACAAATGGAAATTCTGTCCATCCACCCATATAAAATGATTCTGAATGATTCTTTCCCGTAATCATGAACACATGGAAATGGCACTGACTCATTGGTCAACATGTGGGGAACCCTGTATCTAGCTTCCTGGCTTGTCAGGAAGTTTCTCTGCATTAGGTACGTTGTTGTGTTGCAGGACTGTAGGAAATGGCAGTGGCACTGGCAATCAAAACTAATTAGTCTGCTGAATCTCAAGTAGATCGAGACTTTCTCTCAATTTCTCAATGAGAGAAACTGAAATTAGATGTGCTGTACATTGAGAGCTCTCCTGCCTCCACCACACCCCTCTCAAGGCATGCAGAAAAGCACAGAAATAAATATGGCACTGCAGTTCTAGCCCTGTTGCTATAAGTAGGATGCCGTCAATCATCTCATCAATCATGTGAGAATGCAATCAGTGGCATAGCACTACTCTGTTACCTGAGATGTACTAAATGAAGCGACAGCCTTTGAACCACCGCTGTTCTTACTTGTAGTGCCATAAAGAATCACAGTGTGTACTTCAAAACAAGGTTGTATTTTTAGACGTTTTGTTTTTGGACTGTCGATAACACTTAATGTTCTCATGTTTTTCGCTAATTACAATGACTTTGCTTTGACTGCGAGGCTGTGATTGTAGTTAAGTAACCCTGGTGTTTTATGTGCAATGTTTGTCTCTGAGACTCTGACTCTCAATTAAAATAAAAAATGAATGCAGCTTTTCCATGTGAATGTAGTTTATTTAGACAGATAGACAGAAAAATGTCTTTGCCACTCATGTAAAGCATAAATAAACATCTCAACCACTGGCATTTGGGCAAACATGTGACTAGATAATGTTACCACACTAGCTTTGTGGGCGGGCTGACTCAGCCCTTTATTTAGCATTCTGTTGACACTACTTGTTTTAAGCAGCACTGTCTGGTCTATCTGAGGAATTTAATCAATGGAAAATGAGATCCACAGTTAGACCACATAGATGCTGAAGACACTTCTTGAACCTTTTTTTTTTTTTTGAGGTTTTGAGACCGGTTCCATATGCCCCCAATAAACCTTGCTTTAGAGGTCTGGTAACACTCATTGAAATGGTGCCGACCTTTGACCCTGCCCTTCCAGGACCCTGTATCTGCTATCGCTCTCTAAACATTGCGTCGGAGAACTGACTATTCCAGGCCATTGCAAGTCAATCCATAATGGTTGATGTGACATGATTTAAATGGCATTGACGGTTGGAAGTAATCTATTAAACCCAAGACACTCCTGCTGTTGTTCATGAACCGAACTTGTCAATATCGTAACGCAGAGGAGACTGTTCATTCAAAAGAATTAACACTTTGTGATGCACGGACAGCTGTGTTGTAAATATTCTTTGCTTATTTGGACATTATTCCTAAGTAACCCTCTGCTTTCTGGTCGTCTTCAGTTGCATTCATTTGTTGTGAAATCATGAAAAGTGTTTCAGCAGCCATGTTTCCCTTTATCTTGGCCATTATAATGGCTGCTTGACCTTTCACCAGTAAAGCCTCTATGATTGTGTTGCAATTTTGCCAAAGAGTTGGGAGAAGTGCACATTCTGGCTTCAATTTGCTCAATTAATTTGCAGCAGAAGGCGCTCGTCTCATTTCAGCAGTTCGCATTTAGTGCAAACACATAGGTTACTTTTGCTTGGTTTCTCATTTGTTCTTATGAGTAATTCCAGCACCACCTGACCTCTTGCCAATGCGCCATGCCTACATGACGTAGCCGCTAGTGTTCTGAGTAAATGCAAACTTTAAGACCCAGCCGTCTTGTCTGTCCTCATGCAGAGTCTCTCTCGGATCAGCATGCACGGCGGGCCACGGTGGTAGGCCTACATGCCTGCCGAGTCACTCCGTAAAAGCAGAAACATATCTCGAATGCACCTTGGGTCTAGGTGGTTTTAATTGCAAGCATAACCCCACCCACAAAGTCGTACAATGGAGGTTCTAAATTAAGGATTTGATCCACCCCCATTTGAATGCATCTTTTACAGCTAGGAATGATGAATGCACTTACATCTTCCTTTACTTCAGAGGATAATGCTGTAAATATTTTGTCCTCCCCTTTCAATGTCAAGCATTTCTATCTTTAGAGGGCTGTTTGTTCTTAGCTCTGACAACCCTTTTGTCTTTCATTAAATCTTTTTTTTTTTTTTAAGAAGGGATAATGTTATGTGTCAGCACTTTTTGTGTGTGCCTTTGTGCTTTTGTTTATGGTTGTTTGAAGTGTGTGTGGTTATAAATGTGCATTTGTGCCCTTGGTGAAATCTTAGATGGAATTCATGACTTTGCATGTGTGAATGGCTGCTCCATGGTTACCAGATGTCAGATGTGAGAAATATTTCTCTCCCTTTTGCTTTGGGTGGTGGTAATAATTCAATTTTATGATTGGATTGAGGTGAGCTGTTGCTATGGCTATGAAGCAGATTCATGAACTGATAAGATAATAAATCGTCAAAACCATGTGTTTGTAACTGTGCATAATTTAATGACACAGGAAAAAAATTGTTCAGCTGGAGAAAGGTCTTGTGGACCGATGTACGGTCAATGACTCAAGTGCCACTGTCATAAACTATTTTCAAAGGTTATTGTACCATCGTTCCTTCTGCCTGATTATGGCCCGATAGAGATGCTACATTAAATACTAGAAGCAGAACTGACGGTGTGGGCCACTGCCATATTCTCTTGAATAGTAAAACCCTGAGTCCTGACACGGCCATACTTTCTTTTCTAGGTTTTTCACACTTGCCAAGCAGTTTGTACCCCAGCCCTTACATTCCCTTGGGCCACCTTGAACATCCACAGCTCAGCCAACATGCACTCTTTGACTCCCAAAAAGGTCTGTATACGTCTGTAAAATCATGTTTATTCCATTATCTCTGTGATTTATGGGTGTGTGTGACTATCATCATAACAATTATATACTTATATATAAAATTATTGTGTGTATGTATGTATATGTGAATCTCTCTAAACTGTTTTTATCCAGACATCAATAGCTTATTGATCATTATAGGTGTTATCTATCATTTAGTTGTTGGTAGTTTGAGTTGAGAAATACACATTTCAGAATTATCACTAATCTGTGTGTGCATTTTGCTTTAGAACCAAGCAAGTTGACTCATGAAGCCATTTATTTTTTTATACATCACAATCACAATATTTTCATCAATAATCGCAATATGACATTTTCCCAAATCGTGCAGCCCTAAATATAATCAAGTAAAATGTTAGACTTTATTCTGCCTCAGAGCTGAGGGAAAAGGGCAGCACTTTGTTTTTGTTAGCATTCACCAACTAGTACATGAACGTTTCAAGTCCTTTTGTTCTGTTTCTGTTCTGTTGTACTCTCAGATAGTGCCTTGTTTATAGTTTTTTAACAAGTTAGTTTATGGTCCATCTTTTTATATACCGTTACTTTCTGCAGTTTAGGGCCTTTGAGCAGTCTTATCTTTTACACCAGATGTCCTTAGCTTTGTTGGGGTCACTCTTTCTACTTTGTTCTTATTCTTTCAGAGGGGTTTTACCTGCCAGGTTCAGTGCACTCCCAGTCTGCACTGGCCAGGAGCCCAGTGGCTCACATGCCCTGCTCCTTCTCCAGGGAAAAGGAGGCCCTACCTCCTCACAAAAGCTCTAAAGACTCAAGCAGGGATCTGGGAAAAGAGAAGCCCTGTAAGAGTGACCTAGGCCACTCCCTCCCAAGGAAGGAACGAGAAAGGCCAAAAGAGGAGCCACGGCCCCACAGCGTGGTGGACCTCACCTTGGATGTCAAGGCAGAAGATGAGCGCAGAGCAGGCAACTCAGAAAGGTCTACAAAGACTACGGAGCATGCTCGGCCTTTCTTTCACCAGCACTCTCCTGCTCTGAGCACCACGGACACTAAGCCCAAACAATCTCACCAGAGTTTACTTGGCAACTGCGGGACAAGTAGTGGCATGCCAGCCAGACACCTGAGTACGGAACAGGACAGGAGGGACAGAGACCGGGATGACGAAAGCAGCCGGCCTGGGGGCAACCTTTCCACTGACAAGCAGAAAAGATGCGATTCAGTTGCTACATCATCTGGTACGCTGCATGTGTCGTATGCCAGTCCCTCTTCCCTGCAGCCGAACCCGTCCCATCTCCCGTCCCATCTCCCGCCCAGGCTGGTGTCCTCTGGCACCTACCCTCCCCCTCACCACATGCCGCCCAACATGTACCCGCTCTACTCTACAGCGAAAGAGCCAGGAAAAGAACAGAGAGTGATAGCTCCTACTTATGTGCCTTCTGTCGAGGTTTACGATGAGCGAAAAGGGCCAATTCAAATTGCCTCCCAAGCTAGAGATAATAAAAATGACAAGAGCAGGGAGAGGGACTCGCACAGATCAGCCCTGCAGGTGGGGAATGATAGAACACATATGGACCATGGTCGTTCCTCCATTAGGAGTGAATCGCCCCCTCATGGGGACGTCAAGAGAGACATTTTACGAGAGGAAGGCTCGATAATTAGGTCAAACGGTTTGGCCATGAAAAAGCCCTTGCATTTAGAAATGTGCTCAAATAAATCTGGAAACAGCCCAGATGCCAGAGACTTAACCAACACTACATCAAAACACATGATCAAAACGGGACTTGAAACGGAATCCCGCAGCCAAGAGCGGGATAGGGTTCAAAGGTCTGCCCATCCATTCTCTGGAATGGATCCAGGAACACTTCACTCGGAGCAGCATCCGTTGAAGGGTTTGGGTTCTGCTGAGTCCAAATGGAAGCCTTTCGAGATGGGCAATTATGCTACAAGTCACATCGCCACATTGGCGGCCCAACACACCCATGGCCCCCGAGGTGAGGAAGAGGGCAAGCGAATGTACCTAGATACTACTGTCTTGCACAGACCGGTAGGCAGTGGCAGAAGTCCTGAGGGCCAAAGGGAGGTTTCAGCCATGCAGAGCCTCATAAAGTACAGTGGCAACTTTTCCAACGAATCTGGCTCCAGGCACGGATCCGATAGCCATAGTCCATTTGGAGGACTGGGCAGCATGAAGCTGGAGTCTGGTTATCCCGGAGTGTCTAGAGTTAAGCACCTTCCACCCCAGCAGCCTGGAAAGCAGTTGAAGAAGGAGCCTGAGAGACCAGAGAGTGCTAAATCCTTTGGCAGAGACGGAAGCTCTTCTCAGGGTGAAGCAGAGGTTCGTCATCCCCCCGTGGGCATAGCGGTCGCTGTTGCCCGTCAGAGGGACAACAGCAGCAAGCACAGCTCTGTATCAGACAGGGACAGGCCAATTGGAGGAGCCATCAAAGGTGCGTTGCCTCATATCTTTGCATGCATTGTTCTTGAATTTTAATTCTTGGGTGAACTATACCTTTATTTATATTCACTTCCATGTTTTTTTCTAAATCTGTACAACTGGCTTTCTTCTGTGGAACACAAAAGGAAAGATTTTGCAAAATCCCTTGTCATTTTCGGTCCATACAATAAAAGTCAGTGGGGTTCAGTGTTGTTTTGGGCCCTATTGACTTTCAGTCTGGGCAAAAACAGTTGAGACATTGTTCAAAATGAACAGAAAAAAGAACAACTAACCCTATAAGGTGAGTAAATTGGACATTTCTGGCCCCTGTTGGTATACATTCTCGCCTTTAATGGAATTGAAGAACAACACTCTTATTTTCCGTTGTTATAGCCCATTTACATTGCCCTGCTCAGCTGCAAGGTCGCTCTCACTTTTGTTTTTGTTTCTTAAACAGCATGGGCTTTGCTATTGCTTTGGCCCACAGTGTTTCCTGTTAGTCTAGGGAGTGTGTTAAACCTTTCACTAAGGCACCGCATGCCTGACTGCTTATAAACATAATTTACAGAGCTCTACTAAAGGTGGCAAACAAGCGGTGCATTCTAATATGACTTTAGTTTTGTTGCTTAGCAATCGAATCAGCTTCAGAAAGGGGCAGAAAGAGAGGTGGGGAGAAAGGCATTAATTTATGTCTTTTTGTGTGCAAGGAAATTGCTGTAATAACATTAGTCTACACACTCTGAGTTTGAATTTACATTTAAAACAAGTGATAGGGACAGAGCTTTGCTTGACTAATTTGCCCTCTTTTTGATGCAAACGGATAGCATGTCCGACAGGCTTTTGGTAGCCTTGGAAACAGACTGAAATCTTTTCCCTGGAGCATGACAGAGATCTGTGTGCACTTTCGTCCCCCTCCTCTGTTTAAAAGAACACAATCTCTTCTCAGCCACTGTCCGTACTGAAAGGTTCAATACACTCCTAACTAAATCCCACTCGGATACGTTCTACGCGTTTATCTTTTACAGAGCTGTGTTGTTAAGGTATTTTGAACACAAACTTCAAAGGCTCTTTTAGTTTAGTACGGTATGTGAAATACTGCTTGTTTTGTCTGATGATTCTCCAAATAGCTGCTACTCTATGAAGAGCAATTTGAACCATGGATGACGGCACAGTGGTGTTGAAACATTAAGTGATTGGGCCTCAGTGGGTTCTTGTAAATGTGATATGGTACTCTGCATAGGTTCTCAGTGTGGTTTTTTTTTTTTGTTTGTTTGTTTGTTTTTTCCTCTACACAGTCTCTGTATTGGAATCTCATAGATGTGAATATGACTGGTGCTGAGTGTTAGGACTGATAAACACTCTTAGAGTTTGGGCTATTTATGGAGGAGTGTACTTAAAAAGAGGAAACGGTAACATTTTAAGTCTTTCCAGACTGGGAGACATTACTAATGTTTGACTTTGTATTTAGGCTAAGAAAGGTCGGAAATGTGTAAATTTGGGATTAAACGTATCTGAAATGGGGAAAAATTTGATCTCATTGGCAAACACTAAGATGGTTCATTTATTAAAAAAAACTTTTTCAACATCTGCAATTAGTGTAATGTCCTAACCTTGCAGGCCCAATCCACACAGTAGAAGAACAAGGGGATGAAAGGACACGTCACCGTGATGAGCGCCTGCTGTCGGGACGTGTGGAGCGTGAGCAGGAGAAAGTATTAAGGTACGGTGAGAGTTTATAACCGCTGGCGTAAAGCGAGTCTGCATGGTGCACCCTAGTCTATATTTTAAATATTCAGCTGGGTCCGGTCGGGTCCCAATCTATTACTTCGGGTCCTCCTTGGTGTGTTTAACATTGTGTTTAATACCAGTGTCAATCGGACTCTGAGAACACCCGGCTGTGATCAGAGTCAGTCAGCACTGCTTGTGTTGTTTGTAACTTCCAACTTTTGGAAATTTTAAAATTTGGATAAGAAAAGTGTGAGCCGGGAAATAAGTTAAAATACCCCCTACAAATTGCGCTATAAAGCTCTTCTGGTTGCTCCAGGCAGTTAACGTGTATGTGCAGTCTCAAGCACGTCATGTTTCTATGACAGCCAAAGCTTCTCCACTGACTCAATGACTTTACCAATTGACGATTGGCTCTTTTACTTAAAAGCCGGGACTTATTCCGCCAAGCCTCGCTTTACACTTTCTGCCATTTTTATGATCATTTCAATGAACCGTTTTGAAGCTTTGTTGGTCAGACTCGGAGCAGAGAGCACATAGATGATAGTAAATAAATAATGCTAACGTCAGCGACCATGGCACTGAACGAGCAATCGTTATTATAGTTCAAAACAAGTTATTATGCGAGTTTAGAGACGACGGCTACTAAAATTAGGCAAGACAAAGTTTTATTTTTCGCAACTGGTTTATTGACTTAAACAATAGAAATAGTTAATAGAAATTTAGTGTGGAGCATTGAAAAACCTGCCTTTTATATTTACTTTCGTCGTCTTTGTGAACTTTACATCACAAGTAATTTCTTAGATTAACTTTGCCAAACTCATACATTTGTAATTTTATAATGGTTTTCACACGTTTGACACGTCATTTTTGTGGTAAGCCAGATATAAGAAAAATTATATAATTTTATAATTGGGCCAATAAAGTCTGTGTACTTTCATATATATTTTACACACACATACACACACTGATATATTGGTCGATCTCATATATACCATTATTTTTCCCTATTTTTACACATTATCCATAATCGGGTAACGGTTCACGGCCTCTGAGGGGAGAAAATTTGTTAATTTTATTAAAAATCGCAGCATTTTGCATCATATGATCGCATAGGCTTGACATCGCTATTGCGAAATGATTAACCGTGCAGCACTTGTATATAAATATTTATATATGAAGCGTTCAGATGCAAAAGCCTCTAAATGCCATTTGAAATTTTCTTCTTTAATGATGATTTTTATCAAACTTGTATATTTAAGTTCAGTAATTTCACTTAAATAACAATTAATAGGTAATTATAATTGCAATTTAAGTGAAATTACTGAACTTAAATATACAAGTTTGATAAAAATCATCATTAAAGAAGAAAATTTCAAATGGCATTTAGAGGCTTTTGCATCTGAACTCTTCATATATATAAATATATAAATGTGTATGTATAAATGTAAATGTGTACCTTGCAGAATTTGAAAAAGGTCAATAATGAAATATTTGAACATACGTTTTTTTTTTTTTTTTTTTTTTTACATAAAAGCTGTTTACATAGTCCACAAAACAAAATAATAGCGTAATTTTAAAAAATGACCAAGCTTGATTCTTAATACTGTGTGTCGTTACCTAAAGAATCCACAACTTGTTTTGTGATTGTTGTTCATGAGTCTCTTGTTTTTCCTAGGCAGTGGTTTGGGGACAGATATTGTATATAGTTTTCAGGCATAAGAGAGCCGCTATCAATATGTGGGTTATTTAAATCGTTTTGAATGCGTGCTTGCTCTTCACCTTTCATTTTCTAATTTGCAATGTACAAATACACATACTCTGTGTATAGAGAGCGACGATACTGATACTGCATATTTTACAAGATGAGGTATTTTTCAGTGATCAGGATCTGTTGTGCACCAAATCTTCAGCCATCTTCCTGTCAGTCATCTCTCCTTACACTCGTCATGTGATGAGTGAAATCTTACCTGTTGCACTGTGACTGCTCTGCTCCATACAGCACGAGCTGCACTTTCAGTTTACAATTGTAGTGTTTCTTGTACTACTGAACTAAATGGGTTTTCTATAAAAAAGCCGAAATGACAGTAGTGGGGGGCGATGACAAGAAGTAATGTAATCGGTGTGCGGCCAAACATTGTGTTAGACCGGTAAACGACTACCACAGCAAGCCTACTGGAAATGCGTTTTTTTTTCAGTGGCATTGGTAATGTCCATATTGCTAGCTGTAACTATAAGCCTAAATCGACTGCCATATCATCCAGCACGAGATGAATAAAAATGACTGAGGGCACCTTTTAGAGTCCCAGCTTTAAAATATGGGCATTTTCCACTACTTTCACACTCCAATGCAGGTACGTATATTACCCTGTGTGCTTTTTTGTTACACGTAGGGTGTCAACTGTGTTGGTTTCAGGGGTTGTTTTGACCGTCAATGATGGAAAATGGAACAGGATGTTTTTAGTTTTCTCCCAAAAAAATCACCTTTTGCACCTTGATGTTGCGTGGAAGCTAGTAATGGAGGCAGCTAATGCATAAATGTCCTGTGAAAATGACTCCTTAAAGTCACTTAAGTACAAATCAGTGATCCTTCAATGTGTGGATCTTTAAAGATACCCTTTCTGCTTCCTTGGTCGAAGCTAGTTTAAAATCCTGAAGTGTATATGCCAAAATAGATGTTATTTTTGTTCAGGTAACTCTAAAAAGATGTTATAAGCCTGGATGAAAGTCTGCTAATTAAGGTACCCTTTTATTAAAGTCAATAACCATGTTGTAAGGACTAAGCATATACATCCAGTGTGAAAGGATTCTTGTTTCTTTGATTCCACGCACTAGCTAAACGGAGCAACATTTTACTTTCATTGGTCACACTCAGCATGGTTTTCTTTAGAGCGGACAGATTTATTGCAATAGTTCTCTGCAAATATGAGCCTATTTTCAAAGTGTGGCTCTCATTTCGAGGACTAGAAAAAGTCAGTCTTCCCCACTGGGGAAATTGGTGCTTATAAAAGTGACTGGTTCTCTCAGCAGGATTATGCCCTCAGTGCCTGTCCTTAAGTGTAAGGCAGAATAGAAGTCATAAACTGGGGAATTTGTGTCACAGTTGGGTCTAAATAGCCACCAGTCCTACTTTTGGCCTTAAATAAGCAGGACTTTTTGCAATGTAAAAGCATCTGTCATACATTTTTTTGATCATCAAATGCGGGCACCTGGATATTGGGCACTTAGCAGCAGACTTTTAAAGATATAGTTAAGCCAAAAGTTAAAATGATTTACCCACCCTCATATTGTTCCAAAACAGTTTTTTTAAGTTGGTCTTTGTTGGGAATAACTAACCCAATTCTAAATATTTTGTAATTTTGTTCTTCGGTCAGATAGCATTACTAACATAACATTAAGGTACTAAGGTTTCCTTTTTTTATTGTTGGAGAATATTTTTACTATATATTAAATTAGAAAACTGACTTTTGGCTAATATAAGAGTACTTTATTTAAAAAAAAGCATATTTTTGTGAATTGGTTAAGTAAAGCCCCCCAAAAATTATTTAAGTTAATTTTCTTTTCTTTTTTTTAAAGCAAAGGTAGCTTTTTTTTTTTTTTTTTTTTAATTACAGAATTTTTTATTGAGATTAAGACTTTAACTGCGATTAGGAAATGCAAGTTAACTGACATTGCCATAGATTGGTTAATCACTAATAAGTAAGTCTCTTCATTTACAGAGAGAATAAAGAGTTGGCAGACTACACTCAGATGCATCCATCTATGGTGTCTGCTAGTGGACTGAACCCCAACCTGATGGTGACTGGTGGACCGACTCTGGCTGGTGCGGGCCGCTGGCCTGCTGACCCCGCCTCCCACCTGGCCTCCCACCCGTGGCTGCCCCGACCAGGAGCCCCCTCCATGTGGTTGTCTGGCTCTCCATATGGTACCCACATTTTTTTACGCCTATGGCTGTAGTGTAAGAATTATGTCATGTTACAAGCAATTGTTGCAATTGATCGAGGGTCATGCGGTCTGGAATGCTGCATAACTGGGTTGTGAATGGGATTTGGACACTAAATTATTTCCTCCAGGCAGTCTGTTGACCCTGCCAGACGGCCCAAGCATTTTGTCTAGGCTTAGTGTTTTAGTCATTCTTAGAAATAATCAGTCTCACTCCACAACTTCCATCCAAGAATAACAGCAAACAGCACTGTCAGTTCAGTTCTCTGACGTTCGAGTTTCTGTCTAGACTTTACTTTAAAAACAAAAATGTCCCATAAGAAAATGGCTGTATTTAAAGTTCTGTGCATCTTGGCATGAATTCAACTAGGTCTGTGCTTCATGCACAGGGATGAGATTATGCTGGGAATGGTGTTTCTCTTGGGATTAACTCTTGAATGTTCACAAAGCTGCCAGAATGCAAGTGCAAATGGACCGTCAACTACAAATATGGTGAACCCAACCAGTTCTTGTCCTTCTGTTGTTTAACAGGACTGGGTCCCCCTTCCCTTCATCAGACGCTGCCTCCAGGATATCCTCCGGCCTTGACAGGTTCTATCCCCCCACCTTACCAGTTTGCCCGAGATCCACAGACCGGACAGGTGGTTGTTATTCAGACAGAGCATCTGCCACACTATGGTAGGCCCCGTATATTCACCACAATTTCTGTATTCATATTTGACCATCTTTCCATTCACACATGAATGCGATGTGCATTTATAATAGTGAGTGGTAGTGATATTCCTGACGTGTAGCAGAATAAAAATTCTTGATTCGTGATGCTCAAATATTCCTCTTGTTCTTTAAAAGCTGAGATGTTAGAGCGAGGCCCCCCGCTGTGGTCAGCCATGTACCCGCCGGCAGGAAGCTCTCTGCAGCATGCCCATCAGCTCCAGCTCCTCTCCCACCAGCAGCTCCTGCGGCAACAGGAGCTTTACATGATCCAGCATCAGACCGCACAGGTCATGGAACTGCAGAGGAACGCACAGTTAGTGGTATGAGATTCTTTCTGTCAATGTCATTATATTCGTGGGAAGACACTCCTGTATTTTCCATTTGGTAGTCCTTGAGGTCTATTTGCACTTACTCTGAATGTTCAGCTTGGAAAACGGGCATAAAACCAAATGCATAAATCAAGCCTTCCAATCAAGTTCAAAATATTGTACTTGGGGCTTTATTATTTTTTATATGGGTTTTTATCTCATTTTTTTGCATCTATTTTTATCATTTTTTATAACTGATGTCATATCAATTTTATCTATTTTGATGTGCAGTACTTTTTGAACAAACTTGTAATTTAGTACATATCTTTTCTTGAAAGGGATACTCCACTTTTTTGGGAAATAGGCTCATTTTACCACTCCCCCAGAGTTAAACAGTTGAGTTTTACCGTTTTGTCGAATGTATTCAGCCGATTTTCTGATATTTAGAAGAATATCGGTAACCAGATAGTTTCTGGTCTCATTGACTTCCATAGTATATATTTTTTCCTACTATGGAAGTCAATGAGACCAGAAACTGTCTGGTTACTGATATTCTGGTTACTGTCTGGTTACTGAAAATGGGCCTATTTCCAAAAAAAGTGGAGTATCCCTTTAAGGGGGTAGGGGGTTGAATTCAGATTTAATTATTATTATTTTTTTTAAATTTTCTGGTGCAGGAGAGATTAAATGCAAGCCACTCTAGGACCGATTTGGATGAAAAACCAGAAAAGAGAGGAAGTGAAGGGGCCAAATCCAGTCTCTCGGGCATCCCCACTCAAGCTCTGCACTCACGCAAGCCTCCCCCACGCTCTCCAACCCCCTCCACCTCGTATAGAAAAGCCCTGACGCCGCTGCCCGTCCCACCGTTGCCTTCACCTGTCACTGCACTGAAGTCTGAGGAGAGACCCAAAGTGGAGAAGTCCCTCCCTCAACAGCCCTACTCCCATCCATCATCTCCTGTCCCTCATTCAGTCAGCCCCGTATCGGCATCGCCTCTTCCCACATCCCCCATCCAGACCAAGGAGGAATCTGTGGAAGTGCCTGAGAAAGAAACACTCAGTCTACTGAAGCAAACTTCTACTCCGTTCCCATCTATGTACCATGGTAAGTGTAAGGTCAGCTTTCCCAAGTGAAAATGTCCAGGATTGAGCCTGGTTAATTTGTCAAAATTGCAACAACTATGAGTTTGCATGATCATATGGAGTGATTATTGTTTATTTGCATATTGCACAAAAAATGAGAAGGAAACTGGTTTAATAATGCAAGGCATTAATGCATAAATGCATTCATCTCGGTATTGCTGTTTTTAAGGAAATATGTTTGGGAGGGGACTGAGAATACTCGCAGGACAGCAATCAAATGCAGTGCGCTATTCTTCATGTCAGAATGTGCAGGGTAGTGCAGTCTTAATGAGTAGTCTGCAAATATCTCCACATATGGGATTACCAGCTGTCTCTTCACTCGAATAGAGACTTCTTATGACAGCAGCCCTTTTGTACCCGTATCCCCTGGCGGTTTCCCTTTAAAAATGTTCAATGCTCAGGATAAATAGATTTTCTGCTCATGGTGCACTCTGAATGTACGAGTATGCACGAGCGTGTTGGCCTGTGTGTATATAAGGGCTTTTGGGATGCTTGTACAGGGGCCATTTGGTTCATGAAAGTTTCATAAAGCCCCTGTGCTGAAGAACATGTGGGGTAATTAATCACTTTGTCACTCTGTCGCAGGGAACTAAAGCCTTTCTAGTCTTTGCATAAGCACTCCTAGCCCCTCAAATTGTTCTCTCTTGTTTCTTCAGCAGAAATTCCTCCTGGTTACCCATACCAATCGATAACCGCACCGTTCGGCAGCCATTACCCCTACCTCCTCCAGCCAGCCGCTGCCGCAGACGCTGACGGCCTGGCACCAGATGTGCCATTGCCGGCTGAGACATCCGAGCACTTGGCGACCACCGCAGATGTCAAACCCCAGCACTTGTGTTCTCCAGTGGTCGTGGAGTCACTTCAGGCATCCAGAGAGAAAGAGTCAATGGATGAGGGCAGCATTGTGTTAAAAAAAGAGCCAAACCTGGAAGACAACAAAGACGTCCTGAGCCAGGACAGCCTAAGGCTTGCACCCATCACCACCCAAGACCCTAGAACCCCCACAGAAGCCGAAACCCGCCCTAGACCCACAGCCACACCATTACCAGAGGATAAACAAGACCTGGGAGATGGGGAGGCTGTCAAAATCGAAGCTGCCACCTCAAGCCATCCAGATGTTGAAAGAACATCCAGAGCAGAAACTGCAGAGGACTCGATAGGTCTGGTAGACCAAGTTTACAAATCTTCATCAAGTTACAGTGACACACACCTCGTGGCTTGTGACATCCAGCCAGCAAATCCCTTGGATCTCTCGGATAGTTTGAACCCAGTAGACCTCAGAGATCCTGTCCCTGACACTCCACACCTGGAATCCAAACTTGACAATCTTTTCCTGCCTAACAGCAGCCCTCCTCACCTTCAGCCCTCTTCCATACCGGTGGCCATCCTGCCTGAAGATCCCATGGCAGGCATGTTCGCCCTGGTCACGGCCAGCGAGCTTCCGCAGGCCGGAGCAGTGTCCATCCTGGCAGATGCGTGTCGCTCTAGGTCTGAGCTCTGCAAGGACGTCAGTCCCCTAGAGTCCACTGCTCTGGAAGGCATGGCCCTGCTTAGCCAGATGGCGGAGCTGGAGATGCAGAGGCAACCCAGAGATGACACACAGGGTGAGTCTCATTTCAGAGAGAGGAACGGTAATCTGAGGGATGTGGGGCCTGATGTAGCATGCTCTAACAGTTCAAATGGAAGTGGTGATTAGGGAGGAAGGTTTGCTCACTGTAATGTGCAGTAAAGTAAAATGTGCTGAAACAAGCTCAGGAATGGTTTCAGCTGAAGTAAATTCAGTTTTAAATATTGTTTCATGAACAGTGTGCTTATTCATCTATGAATCGTTTAGAGTAAATACGTTTGTTATGCATCTAACTGCATTAATGCACTCTGACACAAGAAACTCCCATATACTGATGTATTGGAGAATGTAGGGCTGTCCCATGCTCCCTAGAGGTAATTAATGTTGGTATTGATTGTGTGTTTGCGTGTGCAGCTGTAATTCTCTGTGGGCTGGACAGTCTGCTGGAAGCTGGCAGGCAGGTTCTCCTGGAGGCCATCGAGTGTCAGCCTCAGATTATCATCCGCCTCCCCCGAGAGCTCAACCCCAATAAGAAATACAGCTGGAGACAGAAGAAAGATGAACCTGTATGCTTGCCTTTTTATTACTTCTTTTTATCTCCCTCTTTTAAGAAGTTAGGTTTCTATTATCACTTTAATAGAGTGCCGAAGTGATGACGTCGCTTTTAGGGCAACTCGGAAGCTAGCGGCGCGTGGGTTCCCTCGGTTGAAAAGCAATGCATTTTCCCCATAGACTTTTGGAAAATCACAAAAAATAAGATCTGTGTTTAACAAAGAGTAGTGACACTTACACGTTTTGTCTATCAAGATAATCTTTACAAGTTAATCCAAAATTTATACATTTTGAAGCCTATATAAAGATTTTAAAAAACACAGACACAATAAAGTTTAAAAAAAACACAAGCAGGTTATAACTGTGTGATCTATGTCATAGGTCAAAACATTTGTTCACCACAGACCTTATTTCAGGCGATTTAGCAAAAACCCATTCAAAAATCCCATAGGCTTTAGAGCGAGGGAACCGGTAGTGCTAAAATGCTAACTCACTTCCACATTTTCCCCTACAGAGTGACGTCGTAACTTCGGCACTCTATTTGATTTTTCTATTATCAGAATAGTAATTCTAGGATGTTTGTAGTTTTAAATATAAGGAGTGCAAGCTTTTAGCTAATAATACCTAAGATTTCCAGCCTCTTTACACTCATGCATGTGCACCTGATTTCAGCCAGATGTCCATAGCAAGTGTTAACAGCTGCTTAGAGATCTGTAGAAGTTAAACCACAGATACTAATCTTGCTCCGTCTCTTAGATGTTCTCCAAATCCTCTTTGGAGGGAATGGACACTGTAGAAGTGGACTACCGGGTGAGACTTGCTGAGCTGCAGCAGCGCTACAAAGACAAGCAACGAGATCTTGTCAAACTGCAGAGACGGAGAGACAAAGAGTGAGTCTCTCAATTAACATTTAAATCCCTTAACTTTATTAAGACTGGCATTTTATGATCCCTGTGTGATTCACAGAGAAAAACGTCAGCAGCAGCAACAACAACAGATCCAGCAGCAAGAGAGGAACAGAAGTTTAGCCCGCAGGGGCCCGGGGCGTCCCCGAAAGAGGAAACATGCCCTGTGTGCATTGTCTCCACCTCTCAGCAAGCTGGATTCGAAGTGTGCAAAGTGAGTGTGTAGTTCAGGCACCGATAAGGCCCAGCTGTGCTCACCGCAGCCTGCCCTGAAGCTGAACGCTCTGTTGTTTTGCAGGTTGGGCAGAAGCGTGTTGTACTCGGAGGACTCTGAGAGTGGGGAGGTGCTGAGGAAGCGCTTTCGGGCCTCTAACAGAGATGAGGAGGAGGAGGAAGATAGTGCGCTGAGATTGAAGAAGAAAAAAAAGAGCTGGGGCGAGCAGGAGGCATCTTCAAGCTATCCTCACGAGGTCTGTCTCTATTGTGCTGGAGTTGAACAAAAGCTCCTAAATATCTGAAAATTTGAGTTTTTGTTAAACAAACATGTTCCAGTCAGAGTCATGGTGCAGTGGTAAGTGCACATGCTCCAAACATGTTGAACCCACATCACTCGTATGTGCTGCACAGCTCAAGTTTTGCTTGCGGTGTGTCTGATCCCATTCATGCTCTTTCTTTTCAGTTCCCTGTCCTATTTCTTTAATAATATACATTCAATGTTTTTATCTCTTTGAACAGGCACCTAAAATGGTCGGAAAGAAGAGCAGAGTGAGTGAGCAGGAGCAGTTGGCATCCAAACTCGACAAGGCCTTGTCTCTCACTAAGCTCGGTAAACTCAGCAAGTCCTCTTGTAAGTTCATAGAGGGTTCCTCAGGGAAGTCCAGGGCAAGCTCTGGAAGCAGAGTCCCCATGCTCACCGATTTAGACATGAGAGTCAAGATGGGAAAATCCAACCTGTCAAAAGATCTCAGCATCTTTCACAAGTCTTCCAAAGGAGGTAAAAGCAAAATGGCTGCCAAAACGAAACCTTCAGATCCATGCCTTAAGGGAAAAGGCCAGCGGAAAGCACCTTATTCTCCAATGAGGTCAGAAATCAGCAGCTACTCTAACAGTAAGTCACGCTTTTTTGAAGAAAAAAAAAAATTGTTTTTGTGATGCTATACCCTTCAAATTGCGCGAATTGAAAATGTGCTCAATGGAAACACGTCAATTTAGCGAAAACTCCCATTTATCGGAAAAAACGTTTTTATGCTCGCGTGAAAAATATTTCCCAAAACAGCAGTGGAAACAGTTTTTGCGCATTTTTCAGTCACCTGACTTGGAAAGCGCGGTATGTTTGGACAGAATACAAGGCCGAGTTCTTTATTCAATTCATAAAAGACAAAAAAATACTGGTTTCTAAACCTCCAAGAAATGCCACAATCATGACCTCTGAGCAGAAACGAGAGAGAAACACTGAGCAAACGATGTGCCGCTCTCAGTATAAGGGTCTTTCCTTGACATTAATGCTTGAATAACACGCCTACGTCTTTCCATTAATAATAATAATAATAATGTCTGTGATTATATGTAAACATACCAAGTCTGTTGCCATGATTTTTGGAATGACTTATGCGACTAAAACATTTTTTTTCCTCTCGCGGTAACATCGGTTAATGGAAACGCCGTCATTCCGCAGTTGTTTTTATCAATATTTTTATAAAATCTGTTATGAAAACGTGCCTAGTGACTGTATTTATCACAATATAGGAGTTTTTGTTTTGTAAAAATTGCCTAACAGCTGTCGTGATGTATATGTCAAGTTTTTCTTAATGTTTTGAATGAAGCTTGACAGGGCTGCATTTATTTGATCAAAAAATATGGTGAAAATATTTAATATTTTAATACTGAAAATTGTAATTTGTTCCTGTAATAGTAAAGCTGAATTTGAGCACATGATCCATCAGAAATCAGTCTAATATGCTGATTTTGTATTATATTGTCACTTTTTTGCTTTTTATTGTTCTGTTTAATTAAAGGTTTAGTTCACATCAGAGTTATATTTAAAGCTTTATAATGGGAGTGAAAAGTAACTTTAAAGCTGTCCTAAAAAAAAATCTGTCCTAAAAATCTTTAAAGCAGATTAAGTATTAATTAAAAATAAAAATCTTACTGACCCCAAACTTTGGATTTGTATTGCAGTGTAGTGCATCATGGATTTAAGTTGAATTGTTTTTATTTCATCATGCTTTTGATCCTCCATCCTGAGTTAAGTGTTTTGTGGTTTGTGCCAGACACGGATTCAGAAGAGGAAGATTCCCTGAAGGATGGCTGGCCTCCCAGCTCCTTATTGGGGAGAACGGCGTCACGTCCACAGCTCCCCGGCCTGTGCAGCACTCCGACCAAGAAAAAGCGCTCATCGTCCAAGAGAGCCTCTTCATCACTCAAGTCCAAGCAGGCGGCCAAAGAGAGGAAACATAAGCACTTTGCTTTATTGCTACAGGAGGCAGGAGTCAGCTCCTCCGAGGACTCATTTGACCAAGGTTAATAAAGCATACCTCACTATGCACAAAATCGAGATGGCAGCTGCTCGGTTTTAGCTTTTTTATTTTTGGTCTGTCTTGTATTTTTAACCGTGACTATCGGTCATGGTGACATTTGTCATTGCATCAGAATTTGCTACCTCACATCCTGTGTATATAATTTAATCGGCTCTTGTTAGAGTCCCTTTTAAATGGTTACTTTTATAGGAATGTCTTGCCATTGTGCATTAAAATGTGTGTGGATGTGTGGAAAGTGTTCTTTATTGTATTGCAGTTTGGTACCCAAGCTTTATTAAACATGCTGATTTCATTTTTACTGAAAGTAAAGAAACGCAGTGTTCTCTGTCTCTTTCGCTACATCTCCTGCTGTAGAGTGTTAGATTGCAACGCTCCACACTCCTGATTTCCTCTGTTGTTCAAATATCCCTTTCATCAGTGAAGAGCTGTCACAAGGAGATCTCTGCATAAATTCATTGCTCCTGAGCAGTGCTGATGAGATTCATTAGGCCAAATGACTTTGAGAAGCATAGCTAACTTGTTAGGTTCTCCCAAGAGATCAGATTTTTAACAGATGAGAAAACGCTGAAAGGATATTAGATAATGTTTATCTGCATTTACAATATTGTATACATCATCATATTGATTGGTGCCATAAACCGATGTGAAACTAGTGGCAGTAGAGCGCACTACCATTATAACCAACATCAAATCAACATGCACAAAACCAGAATATGTAGAACTTTAATGCATAAAAGCAATGGGGTTTTTTCACTATGATGAGTGAACAGGCAATGCATTGTGGGATATTTGAAAAATAGGGAGATCCCTGATTTACTAAAAAAGAGAAATGAATAACCTAGCTTCTCCAGACTGCTCGCTCTCTCCCTGCAGCTGCTTGGCCACCCCTCCACCTCTGACCCCTTCTCCTACCCATGATGCTTTTGAATGTCTATCGGTCTGTGCATTTGCTTGTCCTGCCGCAACAAAATAAGAAGCAAAGGGCTTGGCTGGGAGTAGGGCAGCCAGCTGTTCAGCGTGAGGTCACTATCCATGTCACCTGAGCCTTGAGCATTGTTCTGTAAGTAGGCCACCATCCTCTTTTGCTGTGACTTCTCCATTATTTTTACTAATTTGTGATTACACTGTTACAGAACCAAAACGCAAACAAAAAAGACTGGATAACATATTAAGGTGTTGAAAATGCCCCTTTTTTTTTAACATGCTCACCTCCTGTTACGTGACCTCAAGCCATGGTTATGTTTGTATTTGGTGGGGAAAGTTTTATTTTTTAGAATTTTCTCCTTCTGCTAATTTTCCTTCTTGGCCATATTAATATTTTTTTGTTCATATTAATAATTTAAGGTTTTCTACAGCTGCTGTTTATGTATTTGCCATTGTTGTACAATACATCCCTGAGTTATGTTTCTCGTTGATGTTGAAACCGGTTATAATTAAGATTTTGTTAGTTTCTATATATAAGATTAATTATTAATTTGATTTTTTTTTTATTATTATTATTATTTACTGCTAAGGAAGTAAGAGGATTGAATTGAAAGAGAAGAACATAACCATGGCTGAAGTGGTTGCTGGTCTGATTTGCGTCCAGGCCAGACTGAGTCTCAGGAGCCATGGAGGACTGTCCTCACAGAGCCTGCTTTTGTTGTTCTTCAGCTTCTTCCTGTACACATCCTTTGCTTGCTGTCAGTCTATGCAATACTTGCTTCAGATCTTAACGCTGTGGCATCTATAAAGTTATGTTCACAACATAACCAATCAAAGTCTTTGTCTGCTACACAGTCCTTGTCTTTAACAAACTCACCTCTGGCTTCGGTTACTCACAACTGCACTCAAACATCTGTTTCCATGTCTGTTTCCATCACCAAACTTGTTCCTCACCCTCCAGAAAATGGGATAAAATGGGGTGTTGCTCAAAGTGGGTACCTACTGTCTTCTAGTTAGTCCTTGAGAGGTTTTAGACAAGCTCAGAGCTGAAGAGACTTTTAATAATTGATGACTTTCTTAGTCAGGGATTCTGCCTGCAACCTTAACTTTCTGCAGCGCTTGTGGCTTATTCTATTCCCTTTTTTCCTTCAGTGATTCAGCTCATTCAGCACATTGGGCAAGGCCACTTTACTGGCTTCTCTTATTTGGTTTGGGCTTTTGCATTCCCTGCCCCTCTCAATTTGGAGCGAGCCAGCAGCCATGCTGATTTTAAATCCTGCCCTAAAGCTCTCAAGGTTTGAAAGCTACGCTTGCGAGATCCTGCCTACCCAGCTTAGTATTTGCTGCCCGCATGAAACCAGGCTTTGTCCCCCACCAGTAATCTTATGTAGTAGTGGGTGGGCTGCAGTATTTGAGCAAGAACACATTCATCTAGAGAAAGTCTGCTTCTCCCGTGCTAGATTACAGTGGATACGTAAAAGTGAGAGAACACTACAGCTGGTAGAATGATTCATTAGGGCTATGAAGATTGAATTCTATGGATTTATTGTTCTACAGAGATAACTAGTCGGGAAAATGGTCTTTAGATGTTGGGTTTTTTTTTTTTAAATTAAATTGCATGGGATTGAGGCTTTAATTTTTACAGGATATGGTTGAAAGTGGTAGTTCACCCAAAAGTGAAATGTAATCATTTATTCACCCTCATGTCTTTTTCTTCTGCAGAACACAAATTATATTTTGAAGGTTTATTTGATGCTTTGTCTATGCATTGAAATTCAATGGGGTCTTAAAATCTATTAGACCCCGTTGACTTTCATTGACGAAAGTAAGGCAGAAGTCAGTCAGTCAGTCATGCGTGTTTGTAATGACATGAGGGTGAGTAGATGACAGAATTTTCATTTTTGCTTAAACTATTGCTAATTCTGGGCTCTTCAACTCAGTTCTGGAAGGCTAGTGTCCTGCAGACTTAAGAAACCCTCCCAATTTAACCCTCCTGTCTGTACACTCTTTAAAATAAAGGCTCTTTAATGTCATCTGTGGTTCCATGTGCACAAAAGGTTCTTGATGTTATTCACACTAAGAAAAAAAAAATGGTTCTTTTAAAAACTGTTCACTGAAAGGTTCTTTGGTGATCCCAAAAGGGTTCATCTGTGGCATCACTACAAAAATACCTTTATTTTAAGAGTCATTTAGTTGTCGAGTAGTTCTGTATGCCTTTATTAGTGTGTTTGGCTATGTTTGGTTGGGGTTGAAGCTAAACTCAATAGGACACTGGAGTTGAAGAGCCCTGCTTTAAGTAATGGGTCGCGTCACAGGCTTCATTTTCATTCATTTCTGAACCATATATATTTTGTCAAACATTCTAAATGATTTGTCTTCCCATTGTTAACAGAGTATTTCACCGAGCGGGATGATTATGAGGATGATGATGACGAGGATGAAGATGGGTACGATTATGAGCTTGATGAAAGCGACGGCCTGTGTTCGTCATCCGTGGAAGAGAGTGGGCTGGGTCTTCTGGCCCGCTTTGCCGCCAGCGCTATCCCGAGCCCCATTGTCACCAATCCGCTCTCCATTGTCCAACTGGAGGCTAAACAGAAAGCCAAGAAGAAAGAGGAACGTCAGAGTCTACTGGGTAAGGAAGTGCTCTTCCTGAATGGCTTGCATCTTTTTTTACACTATTAGACTCCTCTGTTATCTCTCTGTGACATCAGCTGCTTTTCCAAGTCCGCTGGGACTTAAATTCCCAGGTGACAAGGTGATGCATTGTTATTGGCTGTCTTTTGTTGAGCTCTGTCGTGCATGTGCATCGGCGAGTGAGGGAATTGAAAGGTGCTGGCAGCTGAAAACACATTGTGCTTGGAGCATTCACTCAGTAGGGGTGTTATTCAATATAGACACCCATCAGTTGAGCCCCACCTTGAGAATGGAGTGTCATTATCCCCTAGCCACATTTGTGTTGTGTGTGTGTGTTTGCTGCGCCGCTTGCACTCACTGAGAATGTGATGCTGACAGGCCTTGCTTTGATGAGGTTGGGCTGTGATCCTGAGCGGGTACCCAGCAGCGCACACGACAGGCCTGCCAGCGGAGACCAACATCCCCCTTCATTAACTATTAAGGCCCTGCAAGAATGTTCGGACTTAATTCTGCTCCCACATCTGGCCCTGTTTATTTCTTACATGTGCACATTATATTGTCATTCTTTGTTGGGAAATGAGTTGACCACATGTAGATGGTTTAAATTATAGCAGATGGCCTAGTATTTACATTACTGTTGTAATGTATTTCATGTTTACATGTTAACTCTGCGTTTGCGTGCCTTATTAATAACCGAAAGTTGTATCTTCTGGATTGTAGGTACAGAGTTTGAGTTTACAGATTCGGAGAGCGACGTCAAAATGAGAAAGAAGTTTCCGTCACTGTTGCACGGCAAGCGGTCGGCTCCTGAGCTCCCTCTCTTGCCGCCCGCGAGCGTCAGGCATGACGACTCCAGCCCCAGCAAGCGTGGACGCAAACCGAAGAAACCCAAGTCTCCGCGGGAGTTCAGTTTCGACCTCACCGCCGACGGGAGCGAAGACGAACAGTGGACACGGCGGAGGAGTGAGCGCATCTTCCTCCATGATGCTGCCCAAGCCACCCCCATCTCCCCATCTGGAAAAACTCCTCTTCCGCTCACTCCCAAACCTGCCCGTGGCCCCAAAGCGTCTCCGCAAAGCCCCAAAGAGCTGACCAAAGCCAAGGAGGTGAAAGACCCCAACAAGGTAAGCCCTTGTTTTATTGATGTAGATTGAGTCCTCTGTGCCAGCCCCAATGAACCAGTGAGGGCGCTTGATACCAGCTGGTGTCCTGCTACATTTGTCGGACAAGAAAGCCTCCCGCTGTGAGTGTCATGTTGTTGGACACAAAAGGATGGCTGCCGCTTGCCAGGCTACAATTACCAGCCATCACTGTTCCTCCCTCCGAATCCTCTATTGTTTTTTTTTATAGTGTTCAATACATGACTGCCTATTAATGTTTATTTGTCTATCCAATGTTGTTGAATGTCTGTAATGTCTGGGAGAACTGAGCCTGATTGTGTCGTGCATTTGTATGAGGCTTTTCACTCTTGTCCATGCTGATGGTTTGGCTTTGTATCTGGTGTGAATGTTTCAGAAGAAGAGGATTAAGGAGACCCCCTTGTGTCTGCCCCCACCCCAGCTCTCGAGCACACCCTCGGAAAGTGCCGGAGCCGTGCCTGTCAGCCCAGGCCGCAAGGGCAAGGTGAAGGCCAAATCCAGAGAGGTAACTATTGCCTAACTCGGCTGACATTGCAGTGCTGATATTTTACACTATTATGGCTGATGAACAGAAATGATATTCATCCCTTGAGCAAATTCCAAGATCTATCAACATCCATCAACTGGGATAGTACGTTTTATTTTAATTGATTAAATACCATTAATAAAAATCAAGTGTTAAATTAATTTTATTTAAGCTCATAAAATAATATTTTGTTGCAAGGATAGTATTATAGAAATACTGTGCCTGAATTGGTATAAAAATATTATATTAACCCTCAAAAGTTTGGGGCCAGTAAGAGGTTTTTTTTTTTTTCTTTTTTTCAAAAATGACTTTTATTCAGCAAGGATGCATTAAATGCATCAAAAGTGACTGTAAACGCATTAATGTTATAATTTAGTTAAAAGATAAATATTTTGATGGATGCTTTTGTTTTAAACTTTCTATTCAAAGAATCCTGGAAAAAAATATTGGTTTCCATAAAATTATAATATGATAGAATAATAATAAAATGTTTCTTGAGCAGCAAATAAGAATGATTTCTGAAGGTTCATGTGACACTGAAGACTGTAGTAATGATGCTGAAACTTTAGCTTCACGAAATGCGACATCACAGCCAAGATAAAAGAATACAATTTATTATTATTTTTTTTATATATATATTTTTATTATTATTATTTTTTCACTGTATTTTTGATCAAATTAAACAGCCCTTGTGCGCATTTAAAACTTTCCAAAAAAAAATAAAAAATAAAAATAAAAATCTGACCCATTCCAAACTTTTACATATTAAATGTACTTACATTTTTAGCATGCCACGTAATAAATATTTGAAACAGACCTAGTGTTGAGCAGCCATTTTGTGCTACACTGTGACTCTAAGGAGAAACACCGAAAGGGATTAGAATAATTTTACCTGGCAGGCTCAAGGCCTGTTGGGAGAAGCCTTGCATTTAAATGAGCTGTCCCTTCCAGCTCCCCTGTCCCATTCTGTATGGGCCTGCTCTCAGTACCCACCATAACCACAGGGAGGGGGGTAAGAGTGGGAAGGAGAGGGAGAGAGAAAAGGGGGAGAGCGCAATAGAGCAGCAAGCATAATTAGACTGCACACTCAGCAGGAAAGCATTGAAATTAACCAAACAACAACTCGCTCCATCCATTTCTCTGCCCCTTCTGCACAATTAATTTTTTCTTCTCAAGATAAATCTCCACTGCATTTTAAAACTCTCCACCGCTGCTTTGTCGTCATTGTATGTATAAATCATGTGTTATAATGCACATTGCAGAAGCTCGGGAACTCCTCTGGGTATTTGCCCCGTTCGAAATCAAGAAATCCTACATCTCGCGAGCTGAGCTTGTCAGTCATCTAAATAGGTTTTACTGAATCAATTCTCTAGTACGCACATGGGTCTCATCTTTAGAACTGAACCAACAATGGCTCAGTGTTCAATATTTCATATTGTCACTGGAATTGGGGCAAAATGTGCTTGAATTTCCCCCAGCAGGCTCGAGGGAAGGGCGGTGCTGTCAGTAAACTGATGGAAAGTATGGCTGCTGATGAGGACTTTGAGCCCAACCAGGACAGCAGCTTCTCAGAGGATGAGAATCCCCCTGTGAGTGCTCAGCCCGAAAGACCCTGCACCCCTGGTGAGACTCTTTTCTCATTCCCTCTTGTCATCAATGCCGCGGAGCTCTTTTCCTTCATTACCTCCCCATTTATAATTGCTGTTTAATGACTAAACCAGACTTCATTTTCTTGTCCATGCATGCAATTAAAAATGAATGTCTTTTGAATGACGTGAAGGAGAGATCATTTCACAGCATATTTTATCTTAATCCAGCATTCAAAATCAGAAAATTGATTTGGCCTGATTGCATTCATACGGTAATGGGATGAGCTGAGGGGTATTGCATGCGTTCCCTCCCTTTCAAAACCTTGTGAGCTGCTTGTTACCTACATTGACAGCATTGTAAACGTCATGAAACCTCATAATTGACAGAATTTGAAGGTTCTGCGCAGAACAGTACACAGATTGGGGGGGAAAATGGACAGGGCATCTCTGCTACCTTCCACTGTTGAAAGATGAAGCCAAAATATCCCACTAACAGTCTTTGGCGATAATGTGATTCATAACCCAAGTCTTCAGACTAGTGGAGCCACAGCATCAAGGTCCAGCCCACATTCCCTCTCCCGCAGACTCAACGCAAGCACAGCTGACAATCTTGATGGATCCCTTTTTATAGAATCAAATAACAAATTAAAACCATACTTTTTTAGAAAAACATACATCTACGTGATAAGATTGAAGTGTAATTGGATTTTTTGTCCCATTCGGTTTCATGGAGAAGGCGGGGTTTATGACCTATACTGCAACCGTGTGTTCTGGTATTTCTTCCTTTTGAGATTTCCTCTTTTACAAGTTCATTTATAATTGACTTTCATTTCAGTCACCATATTGGGATTTTTAATTTTTTTTTCACTGGTCTGTTCGGATCAACTTCTTCACGATTAACACATGACGTTGTCTTAGAATTTGGCTATAATTGGGTATCTTGGAAAACAGCATAATTAAGCTAACCTATGAGGACAATTTTCACATTAAAATGCTGAATCCATAAGCAGCTCCCTGTCTTTTGGAATGCTGCTTTTTATCTATAACATTTGCAGCTTTAAGGTGGCGATGAGAATTTTCATGTTATTTAGGAGCACAAGTTTCGACATGTCTCTTTTTAACACTGCTTATCTCCCTCTGTTCTGTTTTTCTTCAAGCCCCTCGGAACTGTGTCATTAACAAAGATGAACTGCAGGATGGATTACGGGTCCTCATCCCTATGGATGACAAACTCCTGTATGCCGGCCACGTCAGCACGGTTCACTCTCCTGACATGTAAGAGGCCGCCAGCCGGAACCGTTTTCCTTCTCTTTATACCCTCTGCTGTGTCTTCAGTAGCACTGAAACACACAATTCGATTTTGATTCGCAACCTTTCAATTTGATATTTATTATTTTGGATGTATATCCAGTACAGTACATGGCAAATTGTCTCAAGGGAAAAAAAAATCTCAACTAATGCTGTAAATTGTACATGGGAGTCAGTTGGTACTATATTACTATAATATTAAAGGTTAAAATGAACTAATTTGTATACAAACACTTAATAAACTCAAGAAAGTTCTTATAATCCTAAATTTACAATTACATAATTATATTTCCACTCCAATTCATGTTTGGAATATAAATATTAAATGGTGATTGTCAACTTGACAGATTTTTTCAAACATACATTAAATATTGAATAACATTAAGAATTTAATGAATGAATCAAAAACATTATAATGAATATGTTATATATAAGCAAAATGCTTCTCTCTCAAATTTTTTCTAGCTCACTAACGATTAATGGTCACTAAATATGTTTTTTCTGAGGCTGTAGACTCTTCTGTAGACCCAATGTTTGTTTGAGGTGTTCTTTATTTAAAAACTAAAAAAAAACATGTTTAATTGACAAATCCATTGCAACATTCTTAATTCAGAACTCACAGTAAAGGTGTCCAGATAAAAATGTTTATCTTCCTAGCTGCTTAAATCTGTTTTGATGCATTAAAGATCAAAAGTAGCTGTTTTTTATTGTATGAAAATACATTACAAAGACAAAAAAAATATTTTCATTTAATTGCACCTTTCTCAGTGATTTATGGTAGTAGAGTTGTCTAGTTTTGCTCTGAATCAAATCTAATGTTTTGATTAATCTCAGAGACGGTTGGTCTAGTTCAAGGCTTAGAACCAAGGTCGCTAAAAAAGTTGGCTGTCTTTCGTGTGCTCTCTTTAACTGCAGCTCCCTGGCCATTTACAGATTATTTTTTACCGAACAGTTTACTTGAGCCACTCAGTGTTATAGCGAGTAAAATATTGCCAAGTTTTTCCCATTGGTAAGGTCCTGTTCAGAATTCTCCATGGAAAAATTTGGAAATGAAACATTTTGTTTTCGGTCAGGAAACAGAAGGGGTGGGAAGTGTCTTGAGGGAGGCGATGACAGAAATGGGCAGTTTTGTTTGGACTTTGTATGCTTTCTGTAGTCTCCCATGGCCTATTATCCACTTGGATGAACAAGTTGTAGTCTATTGAAGGGTGAGAGAGTTCCTCTCAAAGTCATCCCTATAAAGGATAATCTAATTTAGTGAAAAATGTCAAACTGGTGCAGCATCTGGTAGGGGGATCTTTAATGAGAGGGGCTCTGTTGCATTTCTCCCCTCTGTGAAATGTTGTCCTCCATTTTAGTTTCGTTAGAGCGGCGGCCCATGGTTGCTCAATGACTGTTTAGCATTCAGCACAGAATCACATCTTCCTCTTATCAGTCCGAGAGCGAGGAGCAGTCATCCTTCAAACTCCCATCACAGTCCTTCTCCCAAATTCCAGTGGTCTGAGAGCCAGAGGTCAGGCAGCATGCTCAAAATCTGGATGCTAGTTCCGGTTTAATACTAAACGTCTATTCCTAAATTAAGGGATCAGAAAGGTGGTGCTTTATCTGTTAATTTGCAGCACATTTGCGTGGCATAATGAGATATGTATGTCATATTTTGGCAGTGGAATATCTCTCCCTCGGTTGCTCGCTCTGCATGTGCCTCTTGCACTAAAAATAGCCCGTTCCAGCCAAGGAAAGGAAGGTGCCTTTGTGCAGGACTGTGTTACCGCTGCTCTTCAAAGCGGGAAGTTCAGTGTGGCGGTGAGAACTGGTTGCGAGAGGATTTAATATGACGAGAGCAGCCGTTAGTGCGGAGGGCTTGACTGAAACAGATCGCTTGTTGTCCACCCTGCCCTCTGGAAATGTAATTCTGTGACGGCTTGTGCTACAACAACACCTTTAGCGCATCCAGAGATTGAAAATCCGTGCTTGGGCACTCAAATGTTTACATGCCGCCACCGACGCCGCTGCTGTTTATATGCCTCGCCTGTCTTCATTAATTGAGCCTGTTGTGGAGAGCCTGGGCTTTTGCAGGCATGAACATACTTGCAGTCCATGAGAGCAAGCTGGTTAATTGTGCAGTCAATAACTCACACAGCCGGTGTCGAATTGGAACTGAAATCTAGGGTAAGGAAAAGTGTCTGTTCTCAGCCTGAGCCTCGGCTTTCATGAAGCCTGTTTTCTGCTCAGAAAAGTCCTTTGGCAAAGCCATTGTCACACTTTCCGACGTGAAGACCATGCTAATGGCGCTGCCCCATTATTTATGGGTAATGGGAAAACTAATTGAAGCTTTCACTCCATCCTTCGCTGGCTCGCCATTTTTTTTTCCTCTTGTACCTTCAATTATGCTTTAGAGATGTGGTTCTATGTAAAGAGAGGAAAATGTTGGGGTTGTAAGACAGGGAAGTTTAGTTCGTCTTATTGCTCCAATACTGATTTCTGAATCTGCCATCATGTCGTCTCAAAGCCGAAGTACAATATTGGAGAATTTCGTGCATCTACACAACTATACTGCAAATATATATATATATATATATATATATATATATATATATATATATATATTTCAAAATTTAATTTTCCCTTAAAAAATATTTAAAAATCCTTTACTTTAGATGCAAAATAACTTAAAGCTACACTGTGTACCTCTTTTAGTTTATTCTTAGCTAAAAACACTTAGTTCTTTCAAAAATATATGTGCTCATTAATGTATATTTACTTGGTTCAAGTAATAAAGTATTCTCGTGAGTGTATAATATGCCATTGAAAATACATACGGGTAAGGGGTTCTAATGTCGGTCGCCATGTCGCCCCTCCATCTTGAAAGTACATTAGCCAAAGAGAGACATACCCGTTAATTCAAGCTTCGGGTTTCGCGTTTACGTTTGAGTTAACACTCATGGACGAGGTTGAACTGGAAGCCATGTTAATCTTGGACTACTTTGGCCACCATAGGAGTTAAAATGAAATCGGAATAGAGAGGAACAGAAACTAATATTCACTGGATGGTCATATACATTTTCACCGCAAGATGGGGGTAAAAATCACACAGTGTAGCTTTAAGATATAAAATACTGCTTCCTGAAAAAAAAAATCTAAATTAAGTGAGTTAGTGCTTAAAACAAGAAAAATATCTGTCGCTGAGTTAAGAAAAATACACTTAATTTAAACGGTAAGCAGCTTTTTTGCTCTTTACCCCATACAATATTTTATATTGATAAAGTCTCTTCAGACTTTAAGAGAGCATAAAGTCTCTTCATTTTGATCAATTGTTCAGTAAACAAGACTTAATATCTTAAGTCAATTTGCATCTCAAGTAAATGTATCTTGATTTAAGAATGTTCATATATTTGTGCTGGAAAACAAGACCGAAACACTTTTTGGTTTTCCCAATGATTTTTCATTTTAAACCTCCTCCAGCATTTCCACAGAACAGCATAAAAGGAAGTATTTATTTATATGAAGTGATGTTTTTCAGAGTTTATGTTAATGCAGAGTGTGTGAATCATCAGTTACAATTTCAAGATATTCAACAGCAAAATAAACCCACACGGGGCGACATGGAAAAGGCTACTTCCAAAATAAATCAATAGATGTAAAAAATGTACCTGAGCTGACATTATTTTTATTATGTGAGAAGAAAGAGGCTGTGGAATAATAAAACACACATGATACTAGCTATTTATGAAATCAGTTGCTGTTTTGGATTTTTGTGGTCATTATACGAAAATATGCTGAATCCTGGATATATCAAGTATTTCCCAAAGGACATTTTTATTACAATGAAAAAGTATTACTCCATACTGACCTTTACTACCAAATACCTTCCCTTCCACATAACAACAACAACAAATTTTAGGGTGACCCTTCCCATGTCCCAAGCCCACATCAGGCAAACATGACAGATATTTAACCCTGCTCGGCCGGTCAATCTTTCTCCCCCCTGAGGCAGCTGGTGTGAATTTATTCCAGGCTTTGCAGACAGAACCAATCAGGTTTGGCCAGCAGAGTCCTCCCCCTCAGGCCAGATCCAGGAGGAAGTGATCTGGGGGAGGCTGTCCCACATCACCTCCCAGGTCCATGTCACAGTAATAAGGCTGCCACTCTGTGATGGACACCTCTGAAGCCTGGCTCTGGGTCCATGCTTGAACTGCAGGCACCCTCATGAATCCAAATGAAAAAAGGCCAAACATCCAACTGGGGTTTTTTTAGCGCAGAAGCCCTGTCTTGGACGTCACACATGTATGCACCCATGCTGATTTATAAGGCCCATGTACTCGCATCCAGTAAAAGAATGACCTGCACTTTAAAGAGCTGGTCTTTGTTGTTTCTCTCTTTCTCCTACAACCAGTAAAACTCTATTATTTTTTTCATAATATTGATACGTTTGCATGTTGGTTCACTTTGGCAGTAGAAACAATTTTGTTTTGTTTTGAAACCTGCCAACTTCCAGAAATAATATTCCAGATCTGGAAGAGAGAAACCTATGTTTGGATTGTGCTCCACCTACACATTGGCTTAGCCTGGTCTGCCTACTTTTATTCCTTTTTTCCATTTGCATCAGTGCCCATTTTGGTTTTCACATGTGATGTCAAGAAATAGTTTAACTTATCTTGCATATACCCAAGGCCCTGACTTCTTGACCGTAAAGACAATAAAAACGCTGCAAAAGGAAAAATTTATCGCCGGGCAATGATTTTTATTTTCTTTTCTTTTTTTTTCTTTTTTTTTTTAAAGGGTAAGCCCCTCCAAATTTTATCCCTGAGGGTTGCGCTTGAATAAGGAGGGGAGATGGATAGAAAGCAAAGCTCAGTTCAAAGCTCAGTGTGTTTCTCACGAGAGCTGTCTTCATGCTCTTGGGCTGCTGTCTTTTGCTTTAGACCCCCTGCATCTCCCCTCTAATAGCCTAGTACTACGTAATTTTAGACAAAACCATTATGCTCTGGGTATAGACAGCTCCTTTCCACAGCTGACAAATTGACCCCATTTACTTTATTATTGCACCAAATATGTATTGTATGTTATACCACAGAATGAAAACAATGGTATTCTTAATCTTTCATCACATTGTAATAACTTTACTCGACTTCCACTTCTTGCGGATATCAGCTAGGGATGTGCAGCCTATTAGTTAATGTTAACTGATAGCTGGATTGTCTGTTGTTGTTAATGCTGCCTTTCAAAAATAAAATGTTGATAAATTTATTTTATTTAACCTTTGTTTAACCAGGTAAAATCAGTTGAGAACAAGTTCTCATTTACAACTGTGACCTGGCCAAGACGAAGCGAAACAGTGCGACGAAAACAACACTGAGATAGTCATAGAAATAAGTAAACATACGATTAAAAAAAAAATTAATAATAATCCATATACAAAATCACAATATAATACAAAATACAATTAATCACAATCAATACACCAATCCATTTATAAAAGCAAAATAGAATTGAAAGATTATACACTATAAACAAGTGCAGTGATCAATAAACAGCTTTGACAGCTGATGTTTAAAATTGGTAAGGGAAATAGTAACCTCTAGTTTCAAAGGGTTTTTTTCATAGTCGGCAGCGAACTGGAAGGAATGGCGACCAAAATAAGTATAAGCCTTGGGGACGGCCAGTAAAATATACCAGTTAGAGCGCATACTGCGGGTGGATGCTGCTATGGTACTAATAAGGACTAATATATGCCTAATAGATGACTTGGAGCCAATGTATTCGGCTGTGAGTATATAGTGAGGGCCAGCCAATAAGCGAATAAAGATTACAGTGATGAGTAGTGTATGGAGCTTTGGTAACAAAACGGATAGCACTATGTTAAATTACATCCAGTTTACTAAGTAGAGTTTTGGAGGCTATTTTGTAAATAACATCACATAAATAACACTATGCCGTCGTATCATCCAGGTGGATGCTGCACATTGGTGGTGGTTGAAGAGATTCCCCCTTGTAAAAGCGCTTTGAGTGGTGAGAAAAGCGCTATATAAATGTAATGTAGAATTATTATTATTATTTAATGTCGCATTACATTTCATGTTAATTTTTTTTTTTTTGCCCAGTGAAATAACAGATTTCTCTCTTCTTTCTCTCTACCAATCAATTAGTCCTCTTAAACTAAATGACTATGGCCTGGTTTCACAGACAGGGCTTATTTTAGCCAGGATTTGACCTTAGATCAATTGGGACATTTAAGTAACATGCCTTAGAGAAAACATTACTGGTGTGCATCCTGAGACAAACCAATGGCATTGACATATTTTAAGAAATGTCAGTGCAAGTTGCTTTCAGTTAAAACGCCTCAAACTTGCATTTTAGTCTGAGACTATAGGTTTTAGCCTGGTCTGTAAAACCAGCTGTTCAAATTCACATTTAGATCTGCCTAAATCCAATCAACAACCAATGGATAGAACCAAGTCCCCGCCCTACATTTTTTTCCCCCTTTTTGAATTATTGCTCTCAGATGTGGAAGAAAAGGTCTTTCGCTACTTACATTTAATGCCAGATAACATTCATTATCAATATAATGGTGCCTGTGTTTCAGGATATTAACATAATAGTGAAATTTGCAACCCACAATACCCCCTATTGTGGGTTGCAAATTTCACTTTTATGTTAATATTAACCTGTCATCAGGATTTATTTTGGTTTTGGGCTCATGACTGTGTCCTGTCTTACAGATACAGCGTGGTGGTGGAGGGCGAGAGGGGGAACAGGCCACATATCTACTGCCTGGAGCAACTGCTACAGGAGGCGGTCAGTACGCCACACTGCCCTACACCATTCGTTGACCCATATACACGTTACGGCTCACCACAACAGGCCTGTGTGTTTTACTTCGGGCACACTCCTCAGTTTCCTCTCTCTGCTAACAGGCCCGGGGCACGCTGTAATATAGAAGCTGTTTAGCACCTTCCCCTGCTATTAAGCTAAGGGCATGTTTTGCTCCAGTACCTCTGTCTGTTGGTTTAGGCACATGTTACCGCCTTTCCTTCCTAATGTACCTCTGCCAAGAGCAACCTTAGCCATTGCTGCCTCTAAGATGGATTATATACACAATATGTATGTTTCCTTGCCAGAAAAAGATTCATTAGTTATTCACTCTTAAGAGATAGATGACCACGAATGCACACAGGTGTTGATTTAATAATCCTCTCTGATCCACTCTTCCTTTGTTTTACAGATTATTGATGTGAAACCCCCCTCTGTCAGATACCTTCCCCAGGGGACCCGGATCGCTGCCTACTGGAGCCAGCAGTACCGTTGCCTCTACCCTGGCACGGTCGTCAGAGGTATAGCTTTCCTTTTCCGCTTAATTGAGGTCCTTTCACTGGCTATTACAGACTATTAACTAATGCGTTTTACTGCATCTATGTCTCTCGAATGGAAAAATACGCGCACATGTCCAATGTCCTTCACACAGAGGTGCAGTAAGAGAACCTTTCAGGGTTGTTTCATTTCCTTTAATCTAAATCTTTTAGCCAAACCCATAAGCACTGCCAGATAAACCGAGCCGGGGAATGAAGGATGGTGTGGTTGGCTACATGCAGAGCTCTGCTCTATTATTATTTATTTTCCCTCCTGCTGAGGTAGGAGCGAGCTGGAGGCTTGTCAAGAAACTCTTAAAGGGAGGTCGCTGCTACTGCTCCTGTCAACCAATGAGAATGAAAAGGCCCTGTATGAATCCCTGCACCACTGAGAAATATGCGGTCACTCTTTTCGCGCAGCAGTATTTGCTGTTTCACTCAGTGGAAATGAAAAAATTGAGGTGATGCGTGTTCTTTTGCATCAGTCGTCAACTCTGTTACGTGTCCACAGGGAGTCCAGACATGGAAGACGTGGACGATTTGATTACAGTGGAGTTTGACGATGGAGACACCGGCCGAATCCCTCTCTCTCATATTAGACTTCTGCCGGCGGACTACAAGATTCAGTGTGAGTATTCAGATAAGCAGGGCATGAAAGTGCACATGAAACGTTACCTGAATTTCCCAGTTATGTAAATAGTCCGTATGTGCTCTGTTTGATTTGGAGTCCATGCAGCCTCTGATTTTGTTTGCTTTTGCTCTTGAAGCTTGATGATGGATTCAGTGAAATGTTTTTCCACTAGTTGCCAGGGGGTTGCATATGATTGAGGATGAGACTGAGATTTTTGAAGGTTTGTGTATAGCATTTAAGAGCACTGGGTAAATAATAATGTGTGTGTTTGACTGTGAAAATGTTTATGTATGATCATTATCAAAATATATGAGGCTGAAAAGCACATGGGAATGTTCCAGTATTTTTTGTTTTGTTTTGTTTTTTTGGCTATTATTTTATCAATTGTCTAACAGAAATGTCCCGAAGTCTGTTATTAATATCTTCAACACGGAATTTATCTGAATAGGTGCGGAACCGTCCCCTGCCCTCCTCGTGGCCAGCACCAAACGGCGAGGAAGGAAGTGCAGTAAGGATGTACCTGATGGAAAAGAAATGCCACCCAAAAACACAGAGGAGTCTGCTCCAAAAAGTAGAGGCAGAGGAAGAAAACCCAAACCTAAGCCTGGTAATTTCCACTTCTTTTGAACCAAACATTTACCATCATTTACATTTTGGCTGGTGTAGAAGAGACATATTTTTTGTATAAGTGGTTATTGCTTTGGTTCAGATTAAACATCAAGCAGTCAGAAGTGGTGTTGCTGAAATAAAAAAAATGCAGTAATCTTACAAAAGTGTACTGGATTGGTGGTTTCATAGATAATAAATCACATTATTTTTCTTGGAAAGAACTTACTGTCAGAACAGGAACAGCTTTTAGCCTCCCAGCATTTTTTTAGAGGTAAGTGTGTTTTTGGTCTGGCATATTAAAACCTTCCCTCCTGTGCTGCTTTCCAGAGCCTGAAGTCGCTCCAAAGGAGCATGAAAAGCCTGACACACCAACCCTGACGCAGGTCCCTGAGAGGCCCCTGTCCAGCCAGAAAAGCGGCCCACGGCCAGGTAGAAAAATTAAGCGAGTCGGCACAGCCAGCCCCTCCATTCCCAAATCTAATGAAAGCCAGAAGAAAACCGCAGGAATCAAGCCCCCAGCCAAAGTGCGTTCCCAGCCCCAGTCTGTCTACTCGCAGCCACTCTATGGAAAAGTTCTGTCTGTGGATCTCTATAATGAGCCCTCCACTTCTCTGGCCTCCTTTATATCCAACAATGAGACTCTGAGTCCCGCAGGGAAAGGAAAGCCGGTCAAACGCTTGCGAAAGCCTGAAGAGGAGGCATCTGGGTTTGGTGTGAAAATGCAGCGCAAGCAGCCTCAGACTGAGATCCTTATCAAGCTGGACCATGAGGGAGTCATGTCACCCAAAACCAAAAAGACCAAAGCCCTGATGATGATGGAGGGCCAGAACCTGTCCAAAAGAGAGAATAAGTCTGTGTTGGGTGTCAGCTACACTACGATATCCACTGCTGACAAAGCACTGAAGGCTAAAAACAAGGCGGTTGAGGCAGAGACGCCTACTGCTGAGAGCGTGGCCACCTACAGCGTTCGTAAGCTGGGGAGCGGCAGCGAAGGTCTGATTAAGGTAAGCAACTCAGGGGAAAAGGAAAAGAAGGAACTGGAGTGTCCCAACTGCAGTAGCAGTAGCAGCAGCAGTTCGGAGTCAGACGGAGAGGAGGAGCGAGGGACCTCGCAGGACAAGAAGCCCAAACAAGACTCAACCAGCTCCAATAGCTCGCGGGCATCAAGTCCCACCTCTTCCAGCTCATCCACAAGCAGTTCCTCATCCTCGGCTGGGTCCCACTCCTCCTCATCATCATCATCATCCTCCACCACCAGTGATGAAGAATCCTCCTGTAGCTCAGATGAAGAACCGGTCGCTGGTTCTCAACCATCCCCTGCCACAGAACATGCGCCACCTCAAGAGGAGGAAGAGGAGAAGGCCAAGGTGAAAACAGAGCCTGCTGCCAGCATCCAGAAGCTCCAGAAGCAGCAGGCATCTGCCACTCAGCAGCAGAAGCCCCAGAAAGAGCAGAAGGTCAAGCAGGGTGTCGGTCGCCCCAAGAGACGAGAGGGAGTCCACCTCCCAACAACTAAGGAGCTGGCAAAAAGACAGAGGCTACCCTCCGTCGAGAACAGACCCAAGATCTCAGCTTTTCTTCCTGCCAGACAGTTGTGGAAGTGGTTTGGAAAGCCTACTCAGGTGAGCCCATGGATTTTAGATTTTAGTCTTTCTGAAAGTCCCATCAGTGTCATTTCTAACACATCTCAAATAATGTGTTGTTTAATAGCATTGTCTAAAGTTTAAAGTATAATTCAATTTTAATGCCTATGTGTACAGCCAAAAACATGCCCTTTTAAAGCATACTTCATTTGTTAGCGTGCACGTACAAAGTACTGACACTGGACAAGGCTGAAACTGTCTATTTCTCCTCTGTTTCTTTTCAATTGAAAAACGACGAGTCGGGCCAGCTAACCAATTAGTGAATTCATAAAAAAAAATTCAAGAGACATATGAGAGATGATCCTACAGAGTATCTGCGGTTAGAAAAATGTAGATGTGCGTTTACTATGTTGGTGAAATTTATGGCATGCACGCTGTACGCAAATACTAGCATATGCATAAAAACCAAATATAATTTAGGCTTAATGGAAATGACGATGATGGAAATGACATTTTGTATTTTTGTCTCCTTTGTCTTGCAAAGGCTAGTTTTAAAGCTAGCATTTTATGTATACCAAATACACGTGATTAAGTATTTCCACACTTTTTGCGTATTTTGAGAAATTTCAGCTTAAATGGAAATGATACATATTGAAAATATTATGTTCTAAAAGTTATGTTCACCTTAATTTCTTATTTTCACATATCACATACATCATTTTTTTTTTTATATATATAACATTTGGTAATCATTTAGGCAAATTTTTGGCAAATATATTAGTTGTGTATATGTTCGGTGTTGTGGAAAATAAAAAAAATGTTAAATAATTTTCTACCAATTATTAAAATGGTGACTGGTAATTTCACTATTTGGTTGGATTTGTCAAATTTGAATATTTACAGTATATTTTGAAAATTGGCAATGTAAATGACGGCCAGGTAAAAAGTTTCTTAGATGATTTTGAAGTGACCTTCATATAATAAAAGAAAAATGTTGAAATCTCTTAGTTTTAATAAAAAATCAACCCCTGAGGCGTAAAAGTGCCCAATCTTTTTGCTTTTCCTTCAACCTCTGACAGAGGCGGGGAATGAAAGGGAAGGCAAAGAAGCTTTTCTACAAAGCCATAATGCGTGGGAAGGAAATGATCCGTATTGGAGACTGTGCTGTTTTCCTGTCTGCTGGACGACCCAACCTCCCGTTTATTGGACACATCCAGAGCATGTGGGAGTCCTGGGGAAACAACATGGTGGTCCGTGTCAAATGGTTCTATCATCCAGAGGAAACCAACCCTGGGAAGAAACTTCATGACAAAAAGGTTACTTTTTGTCTCACATTGATAATGGTTTGCGGGCATAGTAATATGACCTATGTAATCTACTTGGACCTGTCCCAGTCTTGCCTTTTATCTGGGTTTTTAGCTAATCAAATTTTTTTTTGGCAGAACTGGGATCAAATGTCCGGCCAAAGTCTTCCTGCTGTCCTGCATGCTTCCAATCAGAGGAAAGACTTCATGGAGGTAAGAAAACCAATCAAGGAAATGGTTTGATCATCTTTGATCGTCTGGTTGAAAACAGTCTGATAGATCGCTCTGCTTTCTCTTTTCAGCGGGCACTGTACCAGTCCTCTCACATTGATGAGAATGACGTCCAAACAATTTCTCATAAATGTCTGGTGGTCAGCCTTGAGCAATATGAGCAGATGATTAAAACTAAGAAGTACCAGGACAGCGAAGACCTCTACTACCTGGCCGGGACTTATGAACCCACCACTGGAATGATATTCAACACGGATGGGGTCCCAGTAATCTGCTGAGAATCAACAAGTGAGACGTGTGGAACAAAACCAATGAGACAAAAGGGCTAGACAGAGGTGTTGGCTTTACCCAAAGCCTGACTAATCAATCAAGTATGGAAAAACGTCCTGACAGAGACACAAGCATCAGTTGAGATCAGAGAATACTTCAACAGATGTCATGTTTGCACACCATTTCATACACATCAAGTCAATGGTGTTGGATTCAATTGTTTGGTCTCTTATTGGAGCAACCCTAAACTTGTTTTGACCCAAGTGATTGCAGTGGACTCCAGTCGAAGAATTAAACGTGTCAAAGATGGTGAAGGCACGTCAAAAACGTCTTAAAGGTCAACTGCATCTGATCTGCTGAGCCCAGCCATCACCGATGCATCTGGAATGGAGGTGACACCACTTCTGCAGGACTTGTTCTCCGGGTGAGAAGGCCTGCTAGGAACCCGCTTCCTTGGCCGTGGGACCAACAACAGAAAGAGTAATTGAAGCTGACAGAATGCATCACACTTCTGTCCAGTTACTACTGGTAGACCCCTGCCGGATCTTCAAGGGCTGGCTAATGAACTTGAACAGGGAAAAACGAAACCAGACGCAAAGCTGCGGCCCGTGTGAGAAGCACTTAAAAGAATGGACAGAACTGGGGTCTGTGAGCCTGCAAGGACCGTTTATTAATAGGAAAGTGTGAGTCACGCTTCCACTGAGCGGCCCAGAAGATCTATCCGAGTATTTATATGCGATCCTCATCCCTCAGCTGCGGCGACAGAAAGGTTTCTTTTTACGAGTGAAGGGCTCTACTGGGATGGAAACAGAAGCAGATGATACCCGTTTGTAAATACATGCATACGAGCTATATATGATATGGACAAAAATATTTTATTTTCGTGTACCATAGATTTATGTGACAGTAATTTTTTTAAAGCAGCAAAAGATGGAAAAAAAAGAAAAAGCTTTAATAAACTGTGAATAAAGTTTAAAACGTTAACGAATATCAGGAACTAGTTTTAAGAGTACAGATCTTGCAAGTCTTTACTGGAATCTTACGCGCCCACTACATTGACAACGTAATGTAATCTTGATATCAAAACTACTATTACAGGACAAATGGTTTGTAGGATTTGACTTGAGTGTTCAAAGCCAGTCGTCCCATAATAATGCAGTTTTACAACAAAAAGCACTTAAATTCTGCCCTTGGTCTTACACAGGACAGACTTCCCTTGACAATCCCCTGTTCAGGTGGACGTGAAGCGTTTTAGTTCTCTCATTGCTTCTCAGGGTTAGTGAGAGATGGAGAGTTTAAAAGCTACGCTTGCTCATCATGTCTGTTCTACTCGACTGTCCCTTTTTTCTAGAATCGCCCCCACAGAAAGCAATTACATCTCATGCATGAAAGCACTTTCTTCGAATAAACGAATAGCAGCGGTGCAGGTGGCGTTATCTGTTAGCGCTGAAAGTTGAAAGCTGAAATGTTTTTTGCCTTTCTCACGTCTGCGTTTTTCTCCATGTCGACTTTTTACTCTCCGTTATTCCAAGCCGTTCTTTGGTTCGTTCTTAATAGCCTTAACCTTGGTCCCTAAAAGCCGCCGTATACCGGCAGAATCAAAGTCTGAATGTTGTCTTTGAAAATGGGTCCTATTGATTGATATTGTGCTCCTGAGAAAGTGCCATCAGTCATCAGAGGCTGTTAGGAGCGGGCTATGTATTCGCTGCTTCTCTAATCAAGACCAGTGAAATGTATTTGATTTATGGCGTCCTCGCATGGATGAAGAGACTAGCGAACACCTTATTTGCTTAATTGTAATTATGGTTCTTATTTGTGCCTCGTTTTTATGGTTCAAAGGGGGTATGAATGTTTTCTCTTTTCTTTTTGAGGTTCGACACGTGTTAGTCAAGTACACGTGTTGTTTTATGCTGTAAGGAAATCAGTTTCCTTTTAAAAAATGTCTTTGTATATCTTTAAGTAATGAAAGAAAAACAATTAAATCTGTACTGACTTTTTTTTTTTTTGAACAATTATGGTTATCAAGAAAACATGAGGTTAGTGGCTACATTTTTTTTCTTCCTTTAGTTGCCCAGCCAAAATTTTTCAACTGTTATTCTTTCTACCTCCCACGTTGGTTCAACGTTTCAACATTTTTGTTTGATATTTTCTCTTGGTGGTATTATTATACGTAATGCACATGGGCTTTTAAACCATTGCCTGTTTTTAATTATTTTGCCATGATGAATACCCTCTGTGAATGATGTTGATTTGATACTTAATGATTCTTTCTGTCGTTTTGTTTTGTTTTTTCCCCCGTTCTTTGAGGGAGGATAGTGAGATCAAGAAGGGTATGGACACTAGAGCCTTCCAGTCTTTGCGATTGGGAAAATATTTGGCCTACTCAGTATTTCGGAAATTTCTTTATATTATAGAAATGTTGACACTATTACGTATAGTAGAGCGGTCTGAAATGTCTGAAATATATATATTTTTTTTCATGTAAGTTTCATATTACATTGCCCAGTCTCTCTTAAAGAGATATTATCTTGTTGATATTCAATAGGTTGTATTTCTTAACATGTTTTATCATTGTGTGTGTGTGTGTGTGTGTGTAGTTTTGAGGCTTAAAACGACATTCAGCCTATTCCGGTTTAGACTGTTTTTCTAAGTCACCTAATTTGGTTGAGGATTTTACACATACCCAAAGCTAATTCAAATGCCAAATGATCTTCAAATGCACAGTGAATCTGAAGCAACATTAAGTAAGCTCTTTTTGATTTGACACAGTCTTTTGTGTCAGAGATTTTTTGCCTGTTTATCGAGTTGTACAATTTAAGTGCCCCTCAAAACAAAAAGTTTACTCTGAGCTTGAGTCAAGCTGTAAAGCACTTTTTAGAGTATTTTTGTCTGCATGTTTTAGAAACCGCATATATGCTTCTAGGAATAATATTAGAGCTATCTACAAAAGTATATTTTGCTTATTGTGACGTAATGTAACGTGAATGGAGGTCTTGAGTCCATTCCTTCCCCAAGGGGTCACTGTATGAGACGGTGGCCTCTGTTGGTAGCAGTCATGTGGGATGAATCGCTCATGTCCTCTGCTACTCGTCCAGGGTCTGTTTGAGTGTATCTTATGACGTATAAGGTTTAACTGGCTTGTTATAAAACCGCGTATAGCCGAGTAGAAGCGTAATAGAGTTCACCGTTTGCATGATTCTGTTCAACATTTTCCTTTTTTTTTCCCTTTCTTTCTTTATGACATTCCCCCTCTCTGAACAATCGTCCTCCATGCTTAATGTGCAATACTGCTGAATTTGGATTCTGTGAGGTAGCTGCTAGTGAGGGAAGGAACGTGTTCATGAATGTGGGAGATGAGAGAGAGAGTTAGTGTGGACTGGAGGCTGGTCCTTCGCTGGTCTTCATCTGCTGTTCCTTCAGCATTGGTATGGTCCTGTTACAAAATAAAATAATAATAAAAATTTAAAAAGCTATAGTTTTGAACTTATTATTTGAAATTTTAAAGCATCAAAGTTTTGTAAATGATCCTTTGAGAGGGGGAGATGAATACGGATATACTTTGTACACATTTAATCTTGTAAAAAAAAAATTACAATTTTTTTTAAACTGAAACCAATGTTAAAGATTGCTGTTGACTTGTGTATGTAAACCTAATGGGATTGGATTTTTTTTTTACAGATGCAACCAGCATTATCAGTGTTTTTCAATTCTTTTAGTATCTCAGTATTTTCTAGTTCATCAATAAATGTCATGAAATGGAATTGACTTTGTCTCTTTATTCATGATTTTTTCTTTGTGTCTCAAACCATGTGGCTCTGAATTGCAACTATAATCCATCTATTTGAATCTGTAATACTTCAGATGAACAAATCCGGATCCGGAACCTTTTAGGAGAACTGTTATTGCAGCCAGATGAGCTTTTTACAGCGCCTGTCATTTGCTGTATAAGTGCTTCTTTAAAGGGTTAGTTCACCCAAAAATGAAAATTAAGTCATTAATTACTCACCCCCATGCTGTACCAACCCCGTAAGACCTTCGTTCGTCTTCGGAACACAAATGAAGATATTTTTGATTAAATTTGAGAGCTGTATAACTACCACATTGGCTCCTAAGGGACTGCCTCTTGACGGCCCAAAAAGTCAATGAAGAAAATGTTTAAATATCCCAAGTGACTACCGTGGCTCAACTATATGTTTATCAAGCGACGCGAATACTTTTTGTGCGAAAAAACAAACAAAAATAACGAGTTTATTCGACTATTTCTTTTCTTCCTTGTAGGCCAGAACGAGACTTCCTTATAGATTTCCACGACGCATGCGCGAGAATTGCGATCTGAAGTAGTGAAGGCTGGTGTGAGCAGATCGCAAATCTCGCGCATGCGTCGTGGAAATCTAAGGAATTCTCGTTCTGGCCTACAAGGAAGAAAATAAATAGTCGAATAAACTCGTTATTTTTTTTTTTTTCGCACAAAAAGTATTCGCGTCGCTTGATAAACATATAGTTGAGCCACGGTAGTCACTTGGGATATTTAAACATTTTCTTCATTGACTTTCTGGGCCGTCAAGAGGCAGTCCTTTAGGAGCCAATGTGGTAGTTATACAGCTCTCAAATTTAATCAAAAATATCTTCATTTGTGTTCCGAAGACGAACGAAGGTCTTACGGGGTTGGTACAGCATGGGGGTGAGTAATTAATGACTTAATTTTCATTTTTGGGTGAACTAACCCTTTAAGATGTCTATGAGAGCCTAGCAATATGACATGACCACCATCAAGCTGAAGTTTTAGTCATGTGACCACCACAGGAATGCTGTAACATGGATGGTTTGCACATTGACATTGAGGAAAGTAAAAATATTGTGGCGCTCAACTGAAAGTGTTATTTGTGTTAGGGTAGTCCTTGAGCCATTTAACTCCCAGTCCCAATGGAATGACCCCTCCCCTTTAAAAATCCCATTTCTGAAAGAGCGTTTTTCAGCATGTACGTGATTCATTGCTCACTCGGTGCGGTTCACACAGCGGTGTAATAGATTCAAAAGGTCACCAGGGTGTTTTGTTAGGCAAGAGGCGGTTTCTGAGTCTCCCTCATGGGCAATCACATTTATCAGGATACCATTTTTGAGCTTCCTGGAACAATTTACAATTAGCAGCTGTTAACATTGAACTGAAGCTGAGCTCAATTTGCTAATGCTAGTGCAACATCTAGTGAATTCTCCACTCGCTGACAAAACGACTCTTTTAATTACAGGAGACAAAAATTGTATCATGAGCAATTAAAGGGAATCGTTTTTGCTTTGTTGACCATTCATAAATTAGCTTTTTACCTGGAAATGAGCCGCCGAGCAATACATGTTTGCGACTATTTGCTAATCCGTGGTCTGAAATGGAGTTAAAGGGATACTCCACTTTTTATGGAAATAGGCTCATTTTACAACTCCCCCAGAGTTAAACAGTTGAGTTTTTAGCATTTTCGAATCCATTCAGCCGATTTTCTGATAGTTAGAAGAATAACAGTAGGCTAACCAGACAGTTCTCATTGACTTCCATCGTATGTTTTTTTTCCTACTATTATAGCCTATGGAAGTCAATGAGACTAGAAACTCTCTGGTTACTGATATTCTTTTAAATATCAGAAAATCGTCCGAATAGATTCGAAAACGGTAACTCAAAATGTTTAAATCTAGGGGAGTTGTAAAATGAGCCTATTTCAAAAAAAAAAAAAAAAAATACAGGGAACTCCTGTTATTGGGCTGATAGACCGTGACCTCACTGTTTGGAACATCTGAGTTGCTGTTCCACCATCCTAGTTTAAATAAGGAAGGGATTGCATTTTAAGTGATTGTGAAATGGGAAAGAATGGTTGCATTGTGTTGTCACAAATCATGCTGAATTTAAACCCCTTGGCTTATTTCTTGTCAAAGGCACAACTTCTCAATTTCCATTAACACTGCTGATGAGATTTGAAAATGCATGTCTTTGATTTTGCTTGTAGTGGCATAAAATTAGCATAATGCAATCTAATGGAAGTGCTCCTTAAATTTTACTAAATGCATCTTGCTCGTTGAGGCACACATCATGAATTCTCATTCCTTTTTAATGTAAATAAGCACAAAGAATGTTTATGATTAAACATGACTGCAAAAGTGGTTTAATCGAAATATTTTACCTTTAAAGGGATAGTTCAGACATATTACAATTGACAATTCATTTAGCATTATACTCACCCTTGTTTTTCCAAACTTTTGCAGAACAGTATTTGAAGAGTTCAGATGCAAAAGCCTCTAAATGCCATTTGAAATGTTCTTCTTTATTGATGATTTTTATCAAACTTGTAAGTTCAGTAGTTTCACTTAAATAACAATTAATTGGTAATTATCATTGCCATTTAAGTGAAATCAATGAACTTAAATATAAAAGCTTGATAAAAATTATCATTCTAGAAGAACATTTCAAATGGCACTTAGAGGCTTTTGCATCTGAACTCTTCATTTTTTCTTTTAAGTACATATTTTTGGTCATGCATAAGGTCAGTTGGGTTTATTGGCTTTCATTGTGTTGACAAAAACAGTTAAAAATGTATTTCCTTTATTCTTAGTTACACACAGGTTTGGAACGACATGAAGCTGAGTAAATGATGACTGAATATTCCTTTAATTCCCAGATTTGGGTTCGCTCTATTTCAGGAGGGTTTTGCAATCCTTTCATAGATCACTTTCATAAACACAAAAGGGAAACAAATCCCTCCATATCTCCACTGTAAAATCATTCACAACCGAAGCGTCTGATGTGCCGGGATCCATTCAAGCTAAAGCTATGTTTGAACCTGTTGCTTTGATGTCAAGTCAACTCAACAGAGTTAGGGTAATTTTTATGACAATCACTTAAGAGGCGGCGGCACATGAAAAAAAAAAAAAAACTTGCCAAAAAGCACAATCCGAGTAGCACTTGCACCCTGTGATGTGTAGTAATGGTCTTTGTGGGGGGGCTGTATAAGTCCAGTACAAGAAATTACAGACTAATGACTTTCCTCACACAGCTTGTGCTTTTAGCTTGAGAGAAGTTGCTTGTGACTAAAAATTATTTAAAGGTGAATCACCTCTGAATTATCATGGAATTTCATTTAAATAAATAAGAGAACAGGAGCTCTGGGCCAAATGCAGCTACAGCTAATGTGCCCCGAGTAATCTGTGACTCACGCCATGTGTGAAAATGAGAACTGTCAAACGGAGCACACATTTATACTCTATGGCTCCATGCATTATCATGACGCAAAAATAAATAAAAAAACATTGAAATTATTTTTAAGAGCAGCACTGCGGCCTTGCAGGAGTCAACTGCCGCTGTCAAAGCTCATAAAAGCAATTAAACCCTCCAATAAACCCACCAAAGACCACCTTCCTCTCTCTCTCGACAAGCTATGATTCTCTGTCAGAAGGGGCCACAGCGCAACGCAAAGAATCATTATGCTAATAAGACCAAAAAAGCAGAAAGCAGCCATGCAATATTCATACCCTCCATCATGATAAACTATTCAGGAGTCATTTAGCTGGAATGCTCATTTAACGAACTGAGGCGTGGAACAATTAAAGCGCGCCGAACGATGGAAGCGTACTGTGATGGAGAGGACGTCGGCAGCTCGATCTCTCACCAGGGATGCCATTTGAAGTTCTACACGCTAATGGTTGACTTTTCCTCAACACTTCCCCTCAATATCCAGGGTCCATTTTGTGTCTTACATCACCAAGGCCACCATAAAATGGCCTCCGAATGGAAGTGTGGCTGATTTTCGCTGCTCAACGCAGGAGATATGATTGAGTATTCGTTGTAGGACTGCATTAAACATTAAGGTCCTCAGTGCAAGGGTCATCCATATTGCGGGAGCATTTTACCATTTATGACCCATTAAAATGATTGCAGCATAAAAGCAAACATTTACCGGCAGTCTCAGTCCATCAGTTTAAAGGGGAAAGTGGAATTATTCAGAAGTGATTGCAGGTTAGAAAATGGCTTCATTTCAGCGAAACACTGCTTTGAACCTCTGGGTCTGTGGAGGGGAAGGAGTCTCAGTTCAGAGCCTCTGCCTTACTTCATTACAGTGTGTGCTGACAGCAAACAAGTCGACCAGCATTGCTCGGGGCCATGAGGCCCAGACCCGGTCCTGTCATGGCCCATATCGCTCTCCCCACCAAATTGCTTCCCCCTCAACAGGAGCAGGATTTATGGCAGTATGAAGTGTGGAGATGCATGTCTGACCGCGCTCTCGGCTGTACAAACTGCTTCAGGGAGGGAAACATTCATATTATAATCTCGGGGGCATAGCAATCACTGTTTCAGCATTAAGACAAAATGAGAGAACAACACTCGGCGCCGATGCACGTGCATGCACCTGTTAGAAATAAACCAAGAAAATGTGTGCAATGAACCTCGGCTACTCACAGGAGAGCCATTCGCCTTGTTGTTCCAATATCCTGCTGTGTGGGTACATCAGTAGCCAACTCACCATTTAGACTGTCACCGAATCTCCGGGCTCCCATTGTGGAGAGAGAGAGACACCCAGAGTCTTGGTAATATCACACTGTCATTTTGCTTGAAATGGTTATGTTTTACAGTGAAAAAGATGGCTTTTTTTTTTACTAAAGAAAGCAATAAATGACCAGTTGTATTGTGTTTTTGTGCGTTATAAGCTCGCATGTGTTTTTTAAAGGACAATTACACCGGGAAATTGCATGATGGAAGTGAATCACAGTATCAGTGGGTTATTCA